CTTTCGAGCATGCTTTGGATCAGTATTCAGACTTCATTCAGAAACTGGAAACATTTGGACACATTTAATAGGTGAATTCCCTGTCAAAATATATTTTTTTAAATAAATTTTAAGAGTCTCACAAAGCTAGTTGCAGAATAATGAAAGGAAATAATAATTCTCTTCATTCTTCCGTCTTCAATGTTGCCGTATACATATCTGAGCTGAAAATTGTACATGATGTGTTTCCTAATTTCATAGCAACCTCCTGTTTAGTAAAACAGTAATTGGCTGAATCCTAATCAAGTAGCATCTGGCTGTGATGTCACAATGAGTGCTCGTTATGTGGGCTTGATTAGAATGTGACTAGAATACATAAGTCATTAAAAATATATTGGAATTTGGAAATAAAATCATGTTTGTGTAACATTTAGTGCTCATGATAATATATCATTTGAGAGCACTCAAGTTTAAGAAGCCATTCCTAAAATAGTATAATCTATGTCATATTAATATTTTTACAGTCACAACATTCACAAATGGCTAAAAAGAGTATTTTCATATGTTTTACAGGTTTTATTATGTTCATTGGAATTTGTATTTATTTTCAATGTCTACCTGGAAAATATTTTGTCATTGAATGGCAAGAGAAAACAGTATTCACAATGTTTTTTCTCGGAGCAATCTTATGTCTGTGCTTCTCGACACTATTTCATACTGTTGGTTGCCATAGCGAACGAGTGTATAGAATATTTGGGAAGTGAGTAACATTAAAAAATTGCTGAGAATATTTAGTTTACTGAAAATTTATTACTGTAATAGGCCCTCTTTTGTATCGTCATCGTTTTACAGTTGTACTTTTATGCAGTGAATGCCTGCGATTTTGTGATATTATGAAGCAAGAGGGAATATTTCATATCAAAATAAATGGAGAGTAAATTGTTAGCTACATTATTACTTTTCTTGGATCAGCATATAATATGTAGCAGAAAATTTTATTTGAGATTACATCTAAATCACATGTGAATTTAGTTTTGGAATCTGTATTGAAACAACATTCTATGAAAAGATCTTTTCTGAAGAGTCGTCAAAAGCTAATTAGAGGATTCATATTTTTTTCTTCCATTTGCAGACTTGATTATTCTGGGATTGCATTGATGATTATGGGATCATTTGTACCATGGATTTATTATTCATTCTATTGTGACACAGAACCAAAGGTAGGTTTAGTTTTCATAGTGAAATGTTAGGAAGTTAGTTATTGAGTTGATGCCTGCCCATGGTCTGAAATTTATTAAGTGTTTGGTAGAACTATTCTATATTTGAATAGTATCAATATTAGATTTATTAAGTAATGCTGATTTGACAGAAATTTATTTGCAAATTAGATCATTTATTCTTTAAAAAAAATGTGTGAGGTTACTGTAAACCATGCCAAACTGAATTTTTTTTCACATTTCCAACCTTAATAATAGATCCTTGAATGTTAGAGTGATTGTCTAATAAAAAAGTTGACAATTTTAATATTTGGTGAAAGACAATACTACTATTTTTTCAAAACTCTGCAATTCTTGAAAACTCTATTTTGAAATCATATTTGACTGAAAATAGTTATTCTATAAAAAACCTTTAATATCGTTCTTTTATTTATAAAATACATCGTTTTAGAGAATGTTATATCAATAAATGTTTGCTCATTTGTATTCAGATAATATACATGACATCTGTTTGTGTTCTTGGTGTATTATGTATTGTGATTTCACAATGGGATAAATTCAGCACAGCTAGATTCAGGAGAGTCAGAGCAGGTAACTCACGACAGAGTTCTGAATTTGCTGAACAAATTTGTCTGGTTTGCCCAAATAGTTAAAGACCTAATTTTTTTTTTATTTCATAACATCAAGGACGTTTCTGAATTATATTAACTGCTAAAGATGGGTTTCAAAATGATTTCTGAATTAATTTCAAATTGGTATTACACAACTTGAAAGGTGTTCTGTGTAATAATTGTCATAAATTTTGGCTAAAGCGACTGGGATGACATTGTGCTGTAATGAGGAAGTGACTCATCATGTAAAATATCATGTAATGATTAATTTATCCTATGCTTTATATCAGGGTTGGCCAACCTACCTGCGACCACGATCGACTGATATTGTCAAAATAGCCTATACGATTGACTGATCGGTAATAAGATCGCACACAAAAACAAACGAATTCGAATATGCAAATAATTGCACACACGCATACAAAAAATTCCGCCACTGCCAATAAGCCTGGTTCTTTGGATTCCCAATGAAATCGCCATAATTTTTTTATTTTTTATGTTCCATTTAATTTGTAAATTTGATTATGTAATTGTACCCGAGGTGAATGATTCATGATTGATCATTCATTTGAGATCATCCAAATTATTCAATTCAGACTTAGGACCTGTCTAATTTTTAGTCGTAAGTGTTGAACATTCTTTATAAAACTTGGCTAAGTATGCATATATTATCTGAACAGCGAAAAATGAATATTCCCAAACATGACTGCTCAAACTTTCTAATTTACATTTTCTCCAGAGTCCTATTATCTGCTCGCTTAGGAATTCTGATGCCATTACGAGGTGTTATATTGCGTGTTTTTGTACGATTGTTATTCAGTCAAGGCACATGATATTGAGCAAGTTCATTTCCTAAAATTGGCAGCGGCGAAACTTGATTTTGTTATGTAATGATATGCTCTATCGGCCTCGTCCAAGCTCAATTACTATATCTGTATCGTATTTTGCGCATAAACAGTACTGTATTATTCCTGTTTTAAAGCACACAACATGCACTGGATGAAATTGGTCCAAGGCAATATTTTGAGGTATGTTACCGAATTCTCAGGCGTGGTGACGCGATCGATGTGTTGGCTACCCCTGCTTTATACAACAATTTTAGGACATTTATCAACCAGCAGAAGAATTATATTATAGAACATATTCTGTACTTTTATATACAAGAAATATTAATGTTCACATATTCTTTCTTATTCAGTATTGTTTGCTGCTCTGGGATTGAGCGGAATTGTACCATGTATACACACTATTATTAAGATGGGATTTATGCAAGCTGTCAATTATGGACAAGTAGGATGGCTGTCTCTAATGGCTTTCTTGTATTTATTCGGTAAGGTTTAAGGAAATTTGTACTTTGTGATCCTTCGCTCAATTAATTTGCATAAGCTGGAGATAAAAAAACGCATCTAATTTGCATAACAAATAGAGTTGTAGAAGAAAAAGTTATGAATGAATATTTTTATATCAAAAATGCAGAATAATATTCCATATATACAGTTGTCTCAGACTTTGACTGGCTGCTTTAACTCGAATGTTTTAATCACTTGAGTCCAAATCTGCTATTGGTACAACTTTTAGTTAGGTACCTCTTTTTATTCAACAGTCTTATTGTCCAAATTCAAATGTGAATTTGTTAGTATCGGAGAATGAAACAATGGATATATTGCCCAACCTATAACAACAAATATTTTCATATTTCTCTTATTAATTGCAAAAAGATACTATACCCCTTTTTCTAAGTTTTTATGTTTTTTTCCAGGTGCCTTTCTCTATGCACAGCGAATTCCTGAAAAGTATTTTCCAGGAAAATGTGATTTGTGGGTAAGTTTTATAAATATTATTTCATGTTTAGCCTGAATGGATGTAATATTTAACTGCTTCATTGCATTTGAACCCACGTACATTCGAACTCGTAATTTGAACCCAGGACAATTGCACCTGCATATTACTGCACCTACAGATATTTGAACCCATAGGAATTTTCAAGACTTTAGCTATAAATATTTTCAATCATTTGGTTTTGTGATTTTATTCTTCGCTTTCTTATACTAAAACAATATTTAACAGATAAACAGTTTGTCACAAAAATATCACATTCTATATTAATTTAAATATGGTGATAATATTGCGTTTTGTCTTTCAAATATCTCTTGGATTTGGAAATTGTGGATGAGCATGATGTTCCTAATTGTATAGTTTTCATTCTGAAAATTCCCATGCAGAGAATTTCAATTTTATCTTAATGTTTTCAGTTTCAAAGTCATCAAATATTCCACATTCTTGTTGTATTGGCTGCTGTTGTACATTTTCATGGAATATCGAATCTTCAACATTATCGATTCCAATTTGGAGATCAGTGCGTTATCACTCAACAATAATTTTTTGAAGCAAACATCTGCCAATCAAAGCGTCGTTGATTTATTTCTCATGTCAAGAATTAGTTTTCAGTGTCAAAATGTTTTGGCATGTTTAAATAATTTATAATGTATTATTTTTCAAATTGAATGCGACCTTGTCAGACCAAGTAATATTTTTCAATAGGTCTCACATAGTCCCATCCAATTTACATGGCCATTGTGATTATATTCGACATGAAATGGTATAACAATTTCATTAATTAGTATTAAATTGTAATTTTATGTTCTTTTTTCTTTCAAATCTAATGCCTTGTTTCTACTTAGGTAATTATGAGAGAATAATTTTATTATATTTATGGAGACTTTATGCATGATGCATTTTATGTATAGACTATCTTTTCATTTGCTCTTAGTAACAAGTATTTGGTCGTCAGTGATCTTCAAGTATACATAATTGTTCAGGGTGAACCAACATGTGTACGGAGTATTTCTGCCCAAAACAAATGCAATATTGGCAAGCTAGTTAATAGTTCCGATAGCGTAAAGTTATCAGTATTAATATTATCAATAAGATATAATTCAAAAGTTCAAGATTTCAAAAGTTTTTGATTTTCGTTTCTAGTTGTGCTTTTGGTTGATTTTTAAAAATATTATTGTTAAAAAGCATGCCTAAATTTGGAAGCCCACTAGGTCCTTTCGAGTAGAAAATTTAAATGTAATTGGCGGTAATATATAACTTTTTCAACTAGCACTTTGTCTCTTGGTGATATATACTTCACATTATTGATTTAATTACAATAATTTTTCATTTGAATACTTACATGGCTCAATATTTTTTATGCCATGTTTTTTTGATGTTTTAACGATTCAGGCTGGTCCTGTGAAGCAAATTTACAATTATGAAGGACATTGGAATCATAGTTAGATGTGATCGCAAAATGATATCTATTTTCTCTTACATAAGAATTCTGATTTTGTTTTTAACCTTAAATCTAAGTAATGTATTATATTAAGTAGTAGGGTTCATAATTTCTGTTTTTACTTATGCTTATACACAAAACAAATTATATTGGTTGATAAGGAAAACAGTTTTCAATTCAACTTCTATTAAGCATATAATATTTTCGAAAGCATTTAAAAAATTTCGATTGATTTAGGTTTTGCTTTACACTTACACAAATGTTAAAAAAAATGTGGCTTTCGTAATAAGTTGACTTTACTATGATTAAATTTGCGATAATCCGTTTCTTACTGGCACAATCTTCCTTCCATATCAGAAAGGGAGGTCAAGGCTTTAAAAATGATATATGGTCAATATTGTATTCATATTTGAGTGAAAATTCTCACTTATTCTGCTGTCTCATTGTTGTATAAGAACTATGGTCGGCGAAGATCCATCATTTTCTGAATATTCGGTTACTGCTGTCTCAGTTGAAACAGTGTTCAATAAATAACCTCGTACAGTATTTCTTTCGAGTGATTGTTTTGAGCTAGTCTCATATGGTAACAATGATAATATCCTTTTGCCAATAAACCTGGATGGGTTCGCTGGTTTAAATCCAGTGGGGAATGATAGCTTGATTTAGGCTTTTTTACCAACCCAGTTGAGCGTTTTCGAATACCTGGTGATTTCAGAATTGAGTATTTTTTTAATCGAATCTCTAATACTGTCATTCGGACAGTTTCACGCACAATAAAAAGCATGTTTCATCAAGGGAGAAAAAAGTCATATTTCACAATTGCGTTTTAAAAATACAGCCTCGATGTAAGAGATTTGGGGATTCAACTTGACCTTTGGCGGACAAAAAGACAAGATGCCTATGATTCAAAATTTTCGTCCGAATCCATTCGGTTCCAATTATTCATTTCGCCATGAACCGCAATGCTTATTCTAACTAGGGAAGGCAAACTAGGAAGGAAGCAAACTACGGTCCGCAAAAGCAGTTCGTGCGGTCCTCTGCCCTTTGAAAAAGTCTACAATACAACCCGCCGCCGCGTCCATCATCGTTAATGCATTAATTATCAGTAGGTAAGACGAGTTATGGTAGTGTTTCCTGATTCTAATCAGCTCCCATGGCACTGGTCCTTCGCAGGATCGCACGTTTTGTTCGGATTACCTGGTACCCACCATATTATTTTAAAGGGAATCAGCGTTCAGTGCACTTATAGGAATAATCTTGTTATTTTGTTAAGTTTTGACTGTTGTTTTTAATATTAATTGTATTAAAACCAGATAATCCAGAATTTCTTAAAATTATAAACCGCCGAAACAAATTTGGCTAGTAAACATAATTGATTTAAATAGCCCAAGCCATATCACAAACCAGTTTAATATAATTTTTCTGTTTCCTACTTGATTAGTACATTTTATTGGACATGTACCGGTAGTGGATATAACGATCGTTTCAATATTATATTAATATATCAACGGAGACCGCCGTCGGGTGCGGACGTGGTATTACACGGTGGAGTACTGGAGTAAAAGATATTTGGACTAAAACTTGGAAAACCGGACAAACAGGATTGAATACAGACTAGCTTTTATACATTGGAGCTGCTTTGATAAGAATTGCGTTGATCACTTGTAACAAGTGATTGAATCTAAGGGACTTCGAGGAAACAGAAATAATCGACTTAGCTGCCGACACTGGATTGGTCAGTAAATTCATGCGAGAGAAACAATTCATAGGAACAATCGATGTTCAACACAATAAGATGGAAGCTCCGGAATGTTGGACGTTGCAAGGAATAAAAACATTTATTCCAATTTCTACAAATTCGAACCAAAGCAACGCCCGAAACTAGTTTTCGTGTTTTTATGTTTGTTGTTTACTTTTTAGTTTTGTTTGTTTACAAAAAACAGCAGCTAATCAATTAATTGTTATTATTGGTATTCGCATTTCGGCACAGGCACCGTCACATAACTTCTAAATGTTTTTGTATTCTTCACGACTTTCACTCATCAAAATTATTTACAACATTACAAGTAAGCTTTGCCCGTGAAATTTATTTTCTCGTGATCATGTACTCTGTTCATTAATTTATTCTAGTATGATTGTCTTGGTGTGTTTCACGTGTGTGAATGTGGGTGAATGGGCACAATCGCTGGTTACAAAGTTCGTTATAAACCTTTATATAGGTTTTGCCCGTTTTCCCGATCTCTCAGTTGACCTTGTTCTGTGTTCTTTTTATTTGTGTTGTAGACGAAAGATCGAAATAAAATTGTTGTTGTAATTGTAATCTGTTGATAATTAGTATATATATAAGCTACGCAATATTACTAATTTTTTATCCTTTTATCTTTTCGGCAACACAGACTTTGCATCGTTAAAGTGTCTGAAAGACTGGGGAATCGGTGCAGGCGCTGCAGTGGTATTCGTTGTCGTGTGACAACAGAGGAAACATCCTCTAATCAACAAACAAATTAGTCAGAATATCAATAAGGCTATAAACTTGCGCCAAATGTTTTACAGCTACATACAAAATGTATTAAGATTAAAACTATCTGAACTAATAAGTGTTAAAATTATTGTTTTTGTGTCATCTCCGGTTCAACAATGTCAGCCACCATCTCAAATCAACACTATCACAGCGGATGGCAATAGTAACTGTGACGTCAAACAATCTATTTTCTCAACGCGGTCATTTGCAAAAGATATTTTCTGAGTGCGGCCTTCAAAAAATGAAACTTTTCCCAGCCCCGTTCCAACCATTAGCCTGAAGGTATATAGCCTATAACATACAAACAAATACGAGTTCACCTAACAGTACCATGCTTCAAATCAGGTTTTGCGCAAAAGTACTACTCTAAACCTTCCTGGCGAATCACTGAGAACTGGAGAACACAAGTCACCCTTGTGCGTGTTCGCATTATTTGATATTCGCGAACTACCTACCCAGTTTGTCAGAGGATTGCAGCGAAGTACGAAGGGACAGTTTTTGACATGAAAGCAGGCTAGGGCAAAGAACTTGTTTTTGGATATAATATGTCATTAAATGACGCTTAAAGATCACTGTTTTAAGTAATAAAATACGGCACTGCCAATTAAAAGAACTAATAGCTAAATTTAGCAATTCTATCACAGCTTTTGCGGACCAATTTCTTGTTAGAGCAACAAAAGTAAGTCTTCATGACAAAAATGACCAGTTATTTAGTTGATTTGTGCGTAAATCCAACTGAAAACTGACAAATTGATAGCAAAATCACAAAAAACGAGGAAATGTTTGCCACCATGTTGGTGTTATTTTGTTATCGCATAAGATGCAGTGTGAGTGGCCATGTGCGTAGTCCGTAATATAGGTTCTTTTTTGCCTTTTACCTATTTCACAGCAGTTAACTAAGTGGACGGCGTTGAAAATGCACATGCCGGGTCGTATTTCTGTAAATTGCAATCCCATGCGCGTGAGTATTGCTGTACTACTAGTTCCCCCAGAGGCGAGTAACCATTCTTCATGATTGGTCTCATACCTAAGACGTTTCTACCGGTATGTATGAAAAATCTCACCTATTAATTTTCGTTAAACAAATACAGCATTCGAACATTAAAAACAACTGTAACAGTTTATCACGCACTGAACTATTTTTTAAACTTTATGCCTTCGTCTAACAGACTCTAACAGTCTAACTTGTCCTTGGTCTTTTATTTATGAAAGTGCCATACTTCATAATACTGGTATAGTTTATATGCTTCATTCCTGTTTCGATTAATAACAGTTTTTACGCGAGTATTCAATTTGTTCGGTTTAACTGAACTTGATATAACAAGAATGAACGCCTCCCCTTGCCATGAAAACGTGTTTCACTTGATCTACTTAATTGCTATAACTCCGAGCAAAAGAATTTCGTGTGTTCAGTTGATTTATGGCATAAAACAGAAAAGCACTAGAGTGACTAGACTACAACATCGACGCGACACAAAATTGGGCTTTAAAAGCAAATAAACAGCAGGCATTTAAATTTGAAATGTATCAATCTGACTGTATAAAATTTGAGCGAAGTGCGTGATGAAATGACAAAATAGAAAAGCAAAAATAGTTTCATTAGTTTGAAGCCAACGTCGATTATCAAGGGAGTGATGAATTCAGAGTGCCGTATACCCATAGAAAATGAAGGACTGCGTTTCAAGTGGTATGATACACGTTCTGCATTGTGAGCTCCCGGACCCGGTTTCTTTGTTCTGTCGCTCGGCATATAACACCGGGCACTCAGAGAATACTGAGGAGCTGCTCTTCTTACCGTATTGTAGTTGGGAACTCTGTATCCAGCAGGACCAGGAGTCTTTGCGAGGTCTTCGGCAAACCCCATCGCACTTGTTCGACCTCTCAGTGTGTAGCAAGCGCTCGATGGCTTGTTGGGTACATTGGATCCCAAAGCACTAGGCAACTTGTAAGTATTTGGGGAAGGATTAGCATCAAATCTTCTATATTGTGTTCGTGCTGACATGGAATACCTCGGTGCGCATCGCTCGTTTTGGGGATGCACCGATTCCACCCGGTAAGTTCCTGGACCGGGATTGTTAAAGGGTCCTAAATAGAATATGAAAGTTGTTAAATAATCTGTTCTAACTATTCCTCTTGCATTAGAGAAAGGAAAGGTTTCTTCAAACTGAGCCCCCTTGGAGGCAACAGGGCGGTCACCCGAGAGTCACAACTCACGAGCTTATGCTCTTGTTTTCACTAGGTATCATTCTCTCGTTTCTTGACAATTTATCGATTAACTTCATGCATGAAAAAACTGATGGAAATGCGTGGGTAGTTGTATAGAACTGACAGTCTTTGAGAACTGTATCGTACTATACTAGCGGTATTGAAATTGTTAGCTCATAATGTGAATACACGACCCATGTCTCATTCAATGACCCCGTTTTGATAGGCTTAGTGTTCGTTTTCATAACTTGCCACAGCGTGTACAAAATCCGGTGCTCCTGAAGTATGCGTACCAAGATAGAGTACACCAGAACGTAGTATGTGTACCAGGTTAGGCCATAATTTTGGGTACAAATACTACGGAAGACACTTGGCTAGTCCCTGAACTCGTAATAAAACTAAAATAAGGAAATTGGAATGAAATTGTGCCTAACCCTAACCTGGCACACATACTACGTTCCGTTGTTCTCCATCTTGGTACGCATACTTCAGGAGCACCCAAAATCCTACATATTTAAATGAGCGTTGGAGTTTAGCAATCCATACAGCCAAATGTTACATACTTGGAGATAAATCGAGTGTAATTTGAATGTTTATAGACCGTAAAGATCGGGCAAATAATTATGCCGCCAATACATCATTTCCAAAGGGAAACAAAATCCAAAATTGAAGCAGATTCGAACATAAAATAGCAAAACAATGCATATGTACACTTCGAGTTCAATAAAGAGATTTATTATCCCTTTCATTCATCGGAGCCTTGCAGGATTTCTCAGCTAATTACGAATATGAATCAACTTCGTACACCTCCCGATATTTACTGTGGCATTAATGACAAGCCGCTTGAGATTGCCAGGAATCTAGCTAGATCCATAATTAACGAAAAATTGACGCATATGTCACATTAATTATGCTGTGCATGATTGTTGTGTAATGAAAAAGTGGGAATAGTACAATTATGAAATTCTGATTCAATTTTTCTGACCAACTTTGAGTGTTTCCAGCAGAGAATAACTTTATCCCGAGTTATATTGGGGAAAATTTAAAATCAGAATGAATTCTTGTGCTCGTCTAATGAATAATGATATAATACATATTGGACAACTTTGACAAATTTGGACAAACCTTCGAATTAAATCTGAAATGCTCCCGATTTATGTGATGCATGAAATTCACATTTTGTAATGCTATGCTCATCTAATTCCGAGAAACTAATTGAGAATAAACAATATAGATCTTGTACAGACTCATGTACAGACTCAGACAGACTCACGTACAGACTCATAGATATATATATATAATATGCGCTCAGGTACCAAGGATCGATCTCATCATCGCGGGTAATGATTTCCCAAGGCCACGGCTGGCTTCTTGGATTAAGCTTATTGGGTCCAGTAGGCTATCGACCTTTGATTCCGAGTCACATTGAAAAATTCAACTTCTTATATTTCAAAATTGGGAAAAACATTGGTTGCAAAGATAATATATCGAATGATTCTGTGTCCTGTACTGGCAAGTCACAATTTCGAAAACTACGCTTCTACTTTTTCTATAATAGACAGAACTAATTAAACTAATTGCACTAGCAATGTTATGATAGCTATTCTAACGCCATATGTAAATCAGCAGTTACATAAAGTTCAACGAAGCTTGATAAAATTTATTAGCATGCAAAAAAAATAAAATGATCAGCAACGTACTTCGATGGAAAAGAAATATTTTATTTTTCACAAAGAAAAAATTTCATTGAAGATGATAATATTCTAATAAAGTCGGACAAACATTCAGCTAAGTCAAAGTATAAGGACCACTAAGAAAAGTGAAACATACTATACATGAAACAACTATAAAAATTCTGTTATATAAAGTTTACAATGTATGGACGGTTAATATGAACAAGACGGACACTATAAAGTATTCAATTCGGATATACATTTTGTATCTGGCTCAAAATTGGAGGCCAATCAAAATTCTACTAATGGGCGGATTAATCTTGATAAAATTCTACTCACGATAATTATGTACGGCTTAATTTTTTTTAAATATGGAAATGAATCTCAATGGTGAAAAGGTATGGCTTTTGGTCATGGACGGCTAAGTGCATTCAAAAGAAAAAAATGTTTATAAATTATTATTACAGCAATCTTAATTTCAAATGATAAATTTTGTAAATGTTTTACATTAGTTCCTAAAGAACATTGCCATAAGACCATTCTTATAACTTAACTCGTGTTTAACGCTAAGGGCATAGGGTTTGATACTTATTTAAAATTATAAAACAAAATCACTATTTTAGAGGTATCAAAACATAATTTCAAACACTTGATAATATTATAATTTAATAGTTTTTTTGAAGAATACGACAAAAGAAAAAAATTTACATATCACTAACTTTTCTTTTCACAATCGATAAATTTTTGTTTGGTCAACACAACCCTGTTTTTCGAAATGGCATAAAAATGCACATCAGTCAAGAACGTCTATGATCAGAGGAGTAATAAATTCGGAATGCCGGATGCCTATCGAACATGCTGGAGCTCTGGTTTTATTTATGTATACCTTTTCTGGAGAGTGAGCACCGGGACCAGGTTTTCGGGTATTATCGCCAGGCATTTCGTTTCGCCCTAGCATGGAATAAAGGGGTTGTTTTGTTCGGCTTACATTGGGACTAGTAACATCGTATTTCGCTGGGCCCGGAGTTCGGGCCAAATCTTCATCAAATCCGTTAATTTTAGAACGCCCTGTCATGGAGTAAGCTGAACTTGCATTTTTATTGATTACCTTGGGTCCTACTAGTTGGGGTAAGGAATACGCATTGGGAGCTGGATTTGCATCTCGCTTCCTAAATCGTGTGCGCATAGACATGGAATACTTAGGGGCGTGTCTTTCACCCTGGGGATGCACCCGTTGATTGTCATATGTGCCCGGGCCAGGTGTTTTAAAACCCCCTTTATCGTGAAATAATGCAATGAAATAACCATTGTGTAAAGCATAAAATAAAAATAGCAAAGAAAATAAAAATGAAGAAAATGCGATTGGAATATTCAAAACCAGAACACCGAGAAGATGAGATGATTTCATGATGATGAAGTTGACGCAACAACGATGCAGATTGAAAGTTGAGAAAATGAAAAAACAGAATGCTTGATTAGAGACTACATAACTACATAATACTTATAATCTAGGTATAAGATAGAATCAAATGCAAGATGCTTGTAAAATGATTATATAAAATTTGGCTTGAAGTGCTATAATTACATCGAACTCAAGTTTGATGAAATACATTCAATTGAGGCATAGTGATACATACATTCTACAGGTTCTGTCACAAAACTTTCAAAAATGTTTTTGTATTACACCACATAGAATTTGAGTAGTCTTCCGTAAATATGAGTTCTATCCAACGATTTATCTTTCTCCCATAACAGTAAACAGTGTTAATCAATAACGCAACTTGTTGCGTGTTTGCTTATTGGAATAAATGGCGGGTATAATGACAAGAGGTAATAAATATGATCTTTTTTGTAGGAATATGCCGTTAAAATATTTTTTTTTAGCTTACAACGAAACTGGGACTAAATGGTATTGCTAATATTCTCGAGCATGTTGTATAGAACAAATAATTTTATGTCCAGTTTTATCCAAATATTGCTAGTTCTAATTTTAATAATATCATGACAATATGCTACTGATTAAAGGCGCAGCACATCTATGATAAACACTACTGTACAGGAGATTATTTCTTACTAAAAGAATTGCAGATTGCTTTTCATTATTCGTTTTACTTAGAAATTCACTTACTTAATTCTGGCTGTCTTGCAAGCATCGAATATTTAGGTTCGCCTTCCGGTCCATGCCTTGTATAACGAGATTCTATCAGGTATTTTGGTCCAGGACTTACATCCTTAGAGAACACTGTTATATATAATGAAAAAAATATCACTGATTTTGGAACTCTTCAATAACTTTCGATTCAGTAATGTTACGAGAAGGTTTAGATAAAATACGGTTGCTGTTTGCGCAAGGTTACCTGACGATCACATAATTTATTGTTTCCAAACAATGTAGTACCAATGAAAGACCGGACATGCTTTTTGCGATAATTGAAGTGGCCTGCCTTGAGTAAATAATATTATGCTATTACGATAAGACTTATCAGAGACAACTGAAAGTATTAACATGCGCGCATATAGTTCATTACAATTTTGCTGCGTATTAGTGAGGGATAGTACAAAAATTCCGTTCAGTTCATTTATTTAACCCAATTTATTATGGCGAGAGTGAAATTCACGTGTTTTGGCAGCCTGAATGTTATGAAGATTATACATTTCTTCATAGTAAAGTTATTTCGTTATTGTGTTTGCTCAGTCCCAACACACACACAATATGAAATTAAAATATATTTACACGAAGTGGTTGCGATAGTCGTTAATCATCCACAAAATTACTAAGATTTTACATTTGTGAATGGTTACGAACAAGTTATAACGTTAGGTACATATCCAAAATCATCATCGAATTGTACGAGGTATATATTAAAAAATTTTGGTATTTCGAGTAAATTAGCTTCTAGGCTTGTTTTTAGCCATGTTACTAACTCCATAATTGTAAATAAAACCCAGACGAGAAAACGGATCTGTTAAGTGTTCTTTACTTGGCATCTGCATTCTTGTTGCAAATAAAATTTTTGGCCCTGCTGACTTAAATCATTAAGTCGAGGACACTTTAGAACATCTCATATTACCCAAACGTGACTTCAATTGAAAGCTAACTTTAGTAGTTTCAGGCCCTACTTGAAAGTCTCTTTAGATTATTCCGATTACTTAAATTAGCTCGTTTAGACGTTATAGTGTAATCCGTTCAATGGGCTTGTCTTTTGAGAAGTGATTTACAAAAGATAATTTTCTACGTTTCTTTAATAATCCTTAAATTCCAAGTAAACGCACAATTGAACTTCGCTCATTGTTACCTCAAGGACATTGAAAGCCAATTTACAATGGCCATTTATGAGGTACGCCATTAAACGTTGGCAGACTCCAATAACATAAAACTGTTTCGATCGAGACGACATTTGTTATAATAAACAAATGCTGAATCCAAATTTAAATACATATTAGATATCGGTGGTGTGGTCTATTATCCCATATATGAATTTCACAAAGAAGTTATTTTGGAAATTAATTTAACATAGCGGCCATTAGGAATCATCTCATTCTGATTAAAAAAAAAGCAATTTATTTCAAATTATATTTGAAGGGAGGTCGCAATTACATTTTTCGGTATATTTTAAATTTATTTTGTACACCAAAATCAAGCTTGAATATGTAGATCGTTACGTTGATGAGTTGACACGGCTGATTTTGGGGTTCGGTGTAAAACTTAACGTACAAGTACATTTGTTCACGCATGTAAATGCTGCAAATCATGGACCGTGATTCAATATGATAGAATAAGGTGCATTTCGGTTTCAATTGGTGCCCTATAGATTCAGAATGTCTGCATAATACACAATGTGGCAATATGCACCGGCCTGACAGCACTCGAAATTCACCTCATTCGATTACAGATAGCTTTTTCGCGTTCAAATAGGCGGAATTTCAGCAAACAAGCTCAATTTGCTAAAATGCTTATTCCTCCAAACACGCACAACCACACATGGTAGATCCTTATTATGATCTCGTCGGACCACAATAACACAATGACTATAACGTTACGGTTTTCATTGCATCTTGTACATTGACACACGCAAAAGTATTTCGTCATTTGAAACAGATTATCAATACACAGCAAACTTACTTGAATTGTCTAGTCTCATTCCGAATGAATACGAAGGCTTTTGATGTTTTGTGAAGTCATGTCCTTTGAACCCAACCGTACTAGGAAGTCCATATCTACCAGGCCCAGGACCTGAAAATATACATCACTTTTACGTTATATCTATCTACTATAATACAAGTCCTTGCGCACATTGTACGTTGTCGAAAATTAATATTCAAGGGCACTTATACACATTTGAGCACAGTTATCCAATGTGCAAATATATTGGCAAATAAGAACATTAACACACGGGCATTAATGTGAAGGACAGGCTGCCTGATTTTGTATCACCAGCATTATATTATACAGATAGTGAAAGGTGTTAATTACTACTTTTCCTGCCCATGTACGGGCGTACGCCTTGTCTGACTGCAAGAATAGGGATGGCAAAATTAAGACGAATAGCGAAAAATATATGAAGTTTCAGAAGTATTGTTTTACACTTACAGAAATATGTCACCGAGATATTTTGTAAGGTTATGAGTAGTTTCTCAGTGAAGTCTTTTTTTTCTGATAATTGACTATTGACACTTTTTGTTCACTATGAAGATATATATATATATGTATACGCACACATGTACTTGTATTTATGTCTGTACTTACATATAGGTACGTATATTTTAATTGAATACGCAATATAGTAACCATTGGGCAGATTTCAGTCAGAGTTATGTGTTGTCTCTAATCTATGCAAGAAAAATGCCTAATCCATACTAACCTCTTTCACGCGCTGCGATCATTGTTTTCTTTCTTTCAGTATCCTCCATTATATTTCACTTTTTGACGTGTTTCCAACTAGATCAGACGTCACAAGTACACACTAATCTATGTAATTGAAGTGAAATGCAGAATAAAGTAAACTTCACTGCCTTCTCGCTTGCTAATGGGAGTGATAAAGTGACTGTATAAGACCCACGAGATTCCTGTCGACTTGGTTGCCCTGACGCCTGGTGCCTGGCAACCGACTCTCTCCCGTCTCGCAATCTACAGCACTCAACCATTTTCTAAAAGCTTTTTCTTTTGCTTTGTTTGCACTGAACGTCGTTCTCTCCTAGTGTGATCCGCAATGTATCTTTGATAGCTTCGAGGTGTTCTGCGTACTTTTGTAAATATTAGCCTATTGTGCTCTTCGGTAGGCGGTATTGTGTTCGCCTCGATTTAGACAAAAGATGGAATTTTGACACCGAATCGTGTGTGTAACAAGGTCTTAACTGCTCTAAGATCGGTTACCAAATGTAATTATTTTAGCGTTACAGTTTACAAGCTGTCTCGCAGCGCAAACATTCCCAATAAGACGATGTAAAAAAAAAAAATTATCACAGAATACCAGAATCGCTAAAATTATTTTAGTTTTATCATTTTCTTACTGGAACATGACACACGATCTGTTCTTCTAAACACAGTGGTTTGAGATATTTTTGCCGATACTATATCAAATCTAAGTTATTGTCTATACTGTATGCGGAGTTGGAGGACAAGAACCGATCCTAGATGCAGCTAACATATGAACCATTACTTGTTTATCAAAAATTTAATCTTCCTGTTTTTTACCCATTTTGCTGAGATGTCAAAATTAAACAGATCTCTCATTTTCAAGTATGATATGTAACATGTTTCACAAAAATAGTCCGAATAAATTCATAGGGCTAAGTAATTGTCTGTTTGTTACATCCAACATGGAAATCGAAAAAATGTTATTGACTCTGAGTTAATGTGCTTTTGCGGAGGTCTTTTAAAGCCATTTAAGTGTCATCGATGGTTTTCAACAAGTGCTTGTAAATACAGTGATGCGCATCGCATACGGTCGTCTGAGATTGATTTAGAAAAGCAATTATTAAACTCCTGCGCTTTCAAACCGAGTAGACGGGCGTACTGTTTATTTTACAATGTTGATATAAGAAACATTCAATAAACAGCAGGAAATCACTCGTGCTATAGTTGATCTTGAATTGGGAAGAAAGTTTTCGTCTGGCCTGTTTGGTCAATTTAAGTCATATCCATTATGTCTCAAATATATTAAAGTGAATATATTCGGTTAAGAAAATCTAATAACGTCTAATTTCAATAACTCCTTCGGTTGTGCAACCGAATTCAGTCCAGCAAAAAGAGATCTAATATGAAAAAAGATTGTGCATGATGCTCGTACGAAAGCGGGGTAACACAATTTGCATTGACAAAACAAAAATAGATCAATATGTCCACTGGCAATGGAGGTATTTCGTGCTTTTGGCCCCAAAATAATTCTTTTTATATTTTAATATTGTGTGATTTTTTATGTTTGTTTCGAAAATGTTGCGATGTTTTTTGAAAGCAGACTATCTAATATTAACTAAATATTAAAGCGACAATCGTTAAATTCAACTCCATTCGCGGATAAAATGACAACTAGTAACTACTTATTTCAGTTGTTGCAACTCAGTTGACGTTTTTCAGCATTGTGGTCAGAACCGATTTTTCTACCAGAAGTCCCGAGCCAGAGTTAGAGTCAAAATTTGTATAAGTCAGGGTTTGGATAAAGATCTTCTCCCGTAAAATCGCTTTGATACAACTGAATGAGTAAGTTATACTTTTCCAACAATAACATGAAAGTCCACTTCGCGTCAGTTCTATTTTCACCAATCACCATATCGTCACGCTAATAACCGAATTGCGCAAGTCATTTTTGGCGATTTTGAGTTTTTTATAAAATAGGTATTCATGTAATGCTGCGCACCTGTCTGTCAACTCAGATTTTATTTTAGGAATTCCGAAACCCATAAAAATGGAGATTTAGTATGACATGCACATTTGTGCATTTGTTTCGTCATAATGAATTATCCTTGTACCACAGTACTATTGTGACGTCACAAAAGCAAAATAACCTCGGCGAAGTATTTTCGAGTTTTTGCATCTCGGATTCTAGCTTAGCGCGTATTAATTTGAATTTTTACTACAGTATAGGAAGACGTACACTTGTGATATTCACTGTCCGAGTCAAATTTACCTTGGTTGGCTTTTATATTGGGTGCATTGCTGTTTTATTCTTTATATTTAATCTTAGTCCTATTTCGGTGGGTGTGCAGAACGTGTTATATTGATGAAATATATATTTTTAAACATAAAAATTGATTTAATTGAAACTGATTAGCTATTTTGGGGATTAGACATTGTAGATACTAAGAATTACATTCGTTTTTGGAATGTTTAGTTTTCAGGACTGGTGCATATAGTGAAGTTGCAAATTGCGTATGTCCCCAAGTCATAGACACATTTCTGCCTAAGTCACAGTGCGCCATTATGACGTAACTTAGCTGCGTCATACAAATTAACTTAAATCCGGCTACGAGCAAAAAATTGAACCATGGCAAATTATTGACTCTCAATTGCATAACAAAATCATTAGGAAGTTTTTTACGTTTTTCTCAAAACTGCTAAAAATGACTTACGCAATTCGGTTATTAGCGTGACGATATATAAACCAATGGTTTAGGCCTTCAGGGATTTTTCATTGCAGTACTTTTCATGAAGTTAGCTTGACTTGCGACCTCAGTCATAATGCTAAATTATAAAATTACATATTAGAACATATAATATTCAATGTGCTGTGTGGCGTATTAGGAGAGTGTGGATTGCCAACCTTCTAAAGCTGCCACAGACATTCATTCTCACCGTCCATGAATCTGTTGAAAAGTGAATATTGATTGAATTGAGACAGATCTTGGTTTATTCGATGTAGTACAAAATATACGATTTAATACCAGCTTGCTTTGTTCAAGCATGCCAACAAAACGGGGCGTCGAAACGCCCGGCGAAACAACCGAGGAAAAAATAGGGAATACCCCAAATGTTCTCCTTATTAAGTCCCCTGTGGTGACCGAAAAACTGATATTAGGCGTAGAGCGAAAGGCAATATAGTTCTTGTTCTTGTCTGTTTCGAATTTCATCATTGCAGTTAGTAATCGTTTAGTCCTGTACGCGCGGTGTATATAGCTTACAGATAAGCTTTGAATACAATTTTTCTAATATGACGAGGAACAAAACGAGTGGGTTCACATATTATTCTACTGAAATAATTTTTAAGTTATTTCTGGCAATTGTTGTGGTATTTTCTCTCGCGACTGCAGTTAAGGCTGTATACTGTGAGTATTAAATAATTATACAATCTTAACACGATTCTTCTGATTACCACGGCAGTATGTAATCTGTAGATGATTTTATTAAAAGAACAGTTGATGGGGTACAACAGTAAGAGCCATCAGGGAAACCTAAATAATTGCATTTATATGGCGTAGTACAAGCATTCAACCGATGTATCCCAGAAGAGACATATCCATTATCTGTAATCTCACGCCGTTACTCAAGCCTTTTAGAAAATGCATCAACCGAAGACACCCTATTTTTTAGACTAAGATTTTCATGAAATGTTTTTGAACCCTATTCTGGTACTTTGGCATTTAGTTCTTTATGTACAAATGTATACATCTGCAAATAAACCTAAAGTACAGGTTTCTGAAGAGTTCGGAAATTCCACTAAATGTCCATAAAACGAGGTGTTCAATCTTTTGCTCTGAATTTGTAGCGCCCTCCAGGTCACGGTAGGTGTCTGTTTTGTACCCCGATAAACGCTTTTTAGTAATTTTAGTGCGTTTATAACTGCGGGCCCCAATGCGGGTTCAAGAGGCAGGGGTCACCTGGGATGTGCTCCGATAAGAAATCTAGGTTTGTGCGGTTCTGGTAAAATGTTGTTTAGCAAAAGTACACCGACGATAACAAGAGCTGAAAGTTTACTATTTTTCAGATTGTGCAAACCAGATGGATTGCCCTCCTGGAAGTTATTGCTACCATGGCGTGTGTAAAGATTTGATGGGTAAATGACGTTTCCGTATTTTAGTCTATATTCTTTGTAACGTGCCACTGATAACTAAACATTTTGATAAACTTATGGTAGTATCCCCTGGTTCAGCGCATACGTGAAATTATTCTTTAGTAAATGGCCAAAGAGCAAATTACTTGAGACAAATAGATTTTCGACACATCGAGTATCTCAGGCTTAAATTGAACTTGCGTGCTTTTTAATTAATATGGTTACAACCTTTGCTTTGTCAATGTCATTTTATTGCACTAGAATTATGCAACGTATTGCTACAATGTTTATGTTAGTGTTATTTTTGATACAAAAACCTACTCATGTCCTTTACTACTTTACTAATTGCTTTCAATAGTTTAGAACCGAATAAGCTCCTATTTTTTGTACATATTTTTTTATCACTCTCTTATTTAGATGATGAATTCTGACGTACCGTAATCAAGTTGAATAAAGAACCAAGACGATAGAAGAACACACAATTTATACATTGATATTGCTTTACCTTTCGAATAGTCTCAGCATGTGTGATTTTTTATTGTCGATGTTATTTTAGATTAAATACAAAATTCTATTAACAATGCATGATATATATTTATTTCAAGGCTATGTTAAAAACTTCTAATTCTACCTAATTTGTTTGTAATGAAAGTTAAGTGTAAAACAAGAATTAATTTTTGAAACTTCGTCGAAAGTATTGAAAACGGCTGCCAAATTTAGAATTCTACCGAGTACAATTCAAAGTTTTCAACTTCCTAGACGGGGGAGAATATTTCCCATTTTTCAAAGTGGATGGTCGGATTCAAATATTTTTTACTCTTTCAGGATTGATTTTATTCAAGACAATCATGTAGAAATTTTGTTACTCACGAAGTCAAGAACCGACAACTTAATTTAGAATCAGATTTATTTTAGAGTTGAAATTTGGTAATTTGAGACGAGAAGAAGAACATCCAACTGTTAGTGTTTCAAGTTTAATTAAGATGCCTATATCACTACAGAGCTTAATAAGCTTCAATATAACGTCCCTTATGTCGTTTGATGCATTTACCTCAATTGCTCCATATCTAAATTCGCCATTTGATATGTGCTAATTAACACATATATTTTAATCATAGACTAGTGTTTCAATTGTTGTTAGCTTGGTTGCAAATTTCGAACTGTTTTGAAAAACATTAGTTCGAGCCGATAAGATAAGTCGCGCGTTTATCTCAACTTCGCACCTGAGCTTGCGTCTAGCAACTCCTTATTTGGAGACACGTTTTGTGACTTTATTTTAGTAAAAATCACGCCCCTACTTTCAAGCGTGAGCCATGTGACAGCCATGACGAAACGCAGAGCTGGCTTTTTTTAGTTAAGTCCCGAAAGCCCAACTTGGACGGACTTGGTTGTTCTTTGACGATAGCACAAAACCTGCTCTTCCTTTCAAGCTATTAGATTAGTCAAATATAACAATTCATCAAGAAATAAGTGTCAAAAGAAAGGTGACAGAGGAAATCTGGGAGGAAACATATTTTCTTTCCTATATCAACTGTGTAAACCACAGTGTCTGATGTACTTTCAAATGATACCTGCCAGCCACAAGAGAATATAATTTAAAGCGACATTACAAAACCGAACAACACAAAGAAAAATACCACGGTACTTCTCGGGAAGCAATTTTAAAAAAACCAAAGGCTTAATTTTCTTTCTTAATTGAAAATATACGTCACCCATACAACATAATAATAGGGTGATCAAAACTCATGATCTCCGATTCTTTAATATATTTAAAGTAAGTAAACTCGCGATATTTTGATCACTTTTCAGTTTTCTTCGACTGCGGTCCGCGAGACCTCCTAAGACGTTTTAGCAGCCCCTCAAATTCGCAATCGTAGACCACCCTGATATCTAATCATAAATATCTATACATCAAAAGTTAATGATGAACGATATATCATTCGATTATATTGAATAGTTATTGCTTTTTGATCAGATCAGATCATTTCCTGATTACAAATTTTGACACATCTGATTGCTAATCAATAATGAAAAACGACACGGTAATCACGAAATATTGGTCCGTATACTAGTTAGCATTAGCATATACTTCGTGCAGTGAATAATTGAATTTCTGAATATAACAATTATAGCAAACATTTACACAACTGGTGACACTATTTAGTCTTCAATCTTCAGTCATCAACTGGAGGACATATCAGAGTTGGAAGGTGACTGTGATGCAAAACATAATCACTAACGGACCCAAGGAATGTTCTTCTAAGTGTTCCTCGTCCCCTGGAACCCATGACAAAAAAATTCGCCTCTTTTTTCCTTGCACACCCCACAATAGATTCACCAACCGCGCAGCTCGACTGTGCCAGTGCAACAAATACGTGTTTCAGTTTGAGTTGATCACATTTCACTTCAAAATGCCTCTTAATTTCATTGACTCTAATTTTTGATTCGGCAAACTGCTGCTCCATGAGGGTTGCAATGGCAAACGCTGCTCCCGGACCAATAAACGGCATATCAGGACTTCCTATTTCAGCAACATGCATCAGTATTATATGATTTTCGGGCTTATTAATATGTTTCACGTAAAATTCAAAAGCTCGTTCCGAGTGTTCGCTGTCGTCAACACAAATTACAACTCGAAACTTTGAATTTGTTGTGCCAGTCATAGCTTTGAAATCAAACACTACTCAATATGCTGAAAGTTAGAAGTGAAAATTAATATTCGCATTATGGCACGAATAAAGATGCAATTTTATTTGTCAAATGCAAATATTTAATTTGGTTTTTGAAATCAAGTAAGGTCAAGAAATGTTACCAAAGATCGTCAGAATAACATCATAACCGATGTGACACAAAATATAAGGATATTTCTATTTCTTATGATAGTTAAGAATTTTCAACAATGTGCATAAATTAACACAAAACTTTTCAACAATTTTTAGGTTAAAATTCTCTATTTTGTAAAGTTTCTGATGGAATTATTATTTTTTATATTGTTATGCATTTGTGATATCAAATAATATTGGCGAATAGCAATCTCAATATTCCAATGTATACAACCATATCAATAGATGAAAATAATTTACACTTGAATGTGAACTACCTCAATAGTGTAGTGATATCCACTTATGTAAGGGATTTTCGACGTAAAAGTAACTGATTATAATTATTTAAAAAAAAACAATACAAAAAAGAGTTTAATCTTCTGACAAATAAAACCTAAAAATGGATGTTGCATAATATATATTTATGTAGTTTTCATGCAAATGTATGATAAGGGCCCAAAATGTGATTACTCAATATGTTTTGTAAAGTTGTGAAAAAAATCATATATACATATAACTACTTTAGAGGCATTTATTGGGGTTGCCCCGGGCAGATTAAGACGGGAATAGTGCTGTGGTGAAGTACGTAATCACTGACTGAACCGACATACGTTCTGGACAATCGTTGACTTCTTGATCCAATAACAACTAGATCTGCATCTCTTTTTTTAGCCTCATCTACGATTGCTTCGCCAACACGGCCATTCGGATGATGTATAGCATATTGGTGTTGTATTCCCAAGTGTTTGCAAATTGAGCTATAACGTTCCTCAATTACTTCACTTTTATGAACATTGTCTTCCGTTATCCTTTTCAAATCCTCGAATGGTACAGACATCGGTGCACTAATCGCTAATGCAGGAACTGCGGGCGGCCGCGCCACGTGAAGTATTATCAATTTATTATCTGATTTGTGGATATAGCTTGTGTAATAGTTAAATGCTTGTTCGGAATGCTCACTGCCGTCAACGCATAGCATAGTGACAAATGAAGCTCCAGTTGCCATTCTCAAGAATTTATTCTAAAAACTTATTGATATTCTCTAAGTCTAAAACAATTTATATCGATTAATGTCAAAACACACGATTTTGATAAAATTCACCAAAAGAACAAACCAAACACAGATAATCTTATTATTCACACGACAGTTGAATTACATCATTTTCGTCGTACATATAAAATAGTATCGTCAAATAATATCTAACAGATACAAACTTGTCGCATCTACTACATTTGTCAGAATGCAATGAATAAAAAATAATGAAGGAAGTGTTTAACAAAGCTGAAACACCCTTAGGCGTTACGAACAGTTCTTTCTTTTATATTAGAACATATTAGCATTGACATTACAGTATTCTGAATTTAAAATAGGATCTGAGATTGTTTTCTTCCCATTACCAATAGATGAAATGAAAATAATACGTCAATGAAGTAACGTCGATGCCCAGTTATTTTAAAATAATTTGTTCTAATGGCGCCATAAAAACATAAACAACTTACATTCTATGGGAGCGTTAGAATTTTGCTCATAGTATTCTACGTTTGCTGATGTGCTGTTAATTTAGAATTGTCAGCAAGCTTTATACAGCCTAGTTAAAATGAAATGATAATCAAAAACTGTGTAAGTTTTAGATCCCGACTACTTTTATATCTGACTCCCCCTACCTCAATATACAGCTAAATATATTAACAATTTTAATACAAAATAAGATATTTACTTCACAGTAAATAATTCATCAAACACCCCAGATTTTCCTTAGACACAATGTTGGATTTTGCATAGCCTCGTTTGCTCCTATTTTGGGCAACTCAGAAGTCTGACATAACATTGATTAATGCACCGACAGTTGTGTGTCATTGTGCATCCTGCAATGACGACTGCTTCAGTCGCAAATACGTTGACACTATTTAAGCACGTAGCTGAATGCAGACGTGCTGGTATCGCGTGTTGCAAAATTGAGGATATCTATTTTAAAGAGTTGCAGCAATATTAAAAGAAGTAAATTACTTTCTCCTTGATCGATTTCAATGAAAATCAATCAATTAAAATTTTTTTATCGAAATTTAATCGTGATATACTATAAATAATACCACTTAACACTATATTTGACGTTAACCAATTCTCATTTTAAAGCTTCATTCGTAACATATGTGGGATGTTCTCAAAATAAATTCAATGCTTATGATATTGGAAAAAAAAAAAAAATTTTGTACTGTCTCAAATTTAATATTGATCTGGACGTTTTTACATATTTATACATTCTGGTCATTTAAATGCATAATTATGTCACCACATCAAACTAACTCAAACCAAAATCAATAAAACCGAGGTAAGTACCTCATTATTAACAAGGTATGCTGGTTGCAGCAATTCCAGTCATGACTTCAATAGTTTCGTACGAAATATACTTTTATATATAAAATAAGATATATTCACTTCACATTATATAACTCATCAAACACCCCAGATTTTCCTTAGACACAATGTTGGGTTTTGCATAGCCTCGTTTGCTTCTTTTTGTGCAACTTAGAAGTCTGGCAATAATACTGATGAAATAATACTGATTAATGCACCGACAGTTGTGTGTCATTATGCATCCTGCAATGAAGACTGCTTCAGTCGCAAATACGTTGACATTATTTAAGCACGTAGCTGGATGCAGACGTGCTGGTATCGCGTGTTACAAAATTGATGATATCTATTTTAAAGAGTTGCAGCAACATTGAAAGAAGTGAATTACTTTTATCAATAGTGGATTTCTATGAAAATCAATCGATAAGCACTTTGTATCGAAATGGTATCATGATATACTATATTTAATAATATTATTTGACGTTAATCAATTCTAATTTTAAGCTTCATTCGTAACATATTCGTGACGTTATAGGGAAATGTTTGGCCCTATAAGTATATATTCGATTCCCGTGTTATTGAACACACGTTATGGAATGTAACCCCAATCTGGACTTCTTCAGAGGTCAATGTTCTTATATTGAAAGTTTTACAATCCAATCCAAACACAGATAAATTGACAACACACTTAACTCTTAAAGCAGTAAAAAACAGAACTAGATAGCAATCGGAGACCACATTGCCAGAACAGATAATGCTGCGGCCCAATTTAATTTTCGAAGAAATCGGTATGCCTCGGATCATATCGGGTCTGACACTGTATTCTTCTCTGTCTTATTTTTTTTATCCTTCTTGGTATGTATTGGTGTGTTTGCGAGCTTGCGTGTGTGTTTCGTAAAAAAATTAGTCATTATCCCGGGTTATTCCCACCAGGGGTTTCTGTAACTTGTTTGATACCTCCTCTCATTAAATTAAGTCCACTGATCCTGTGGTTTAATTGAAATTAGTTTGTTTGTATTTCAATCCTTTCTCCACCACTTGCCTCCACATATTCACGCTCGGCGATGGGCCTGTATCCACATAGATACCACTCGCCTTAATTATTCCCATTTTAATTTGCAGTTATTGCAACACTTTTCCACGGGGATTTGTTAGTTTGGGTATTTTCATTTTAATCTGATACTTTATCAAATTTTTCCATTTCCATTGTTTCTGAATTTCACCCAGGTTGATAGGAAAAGGCGAGCGGTAATTATATTTCTGTTACGTTTTTTTAGAACCCATCGTCTAGTTTTCCAGCCCCTCGCAACAGTTTTATATTTGTTATTTTTGCATCTGATTTTATTTTCTATATTTTTTTAAGAGTGCTGGCTGGCTGCTCAGTTAGATAAGCATACTTTTACTTCTTACTGACTTGGTATTCTTTTACATGTTCACTTCAATGCTTTATTTAAGATGAATTCTTATTTGTATTTATTTTATAAATACCGTTTTTGCAAATGAGTGGGGGAAGTCAGGGTAACTGGCGACTATACCATGAATAATTTATTAGAAGTACATAAAAACAAATATGCAGGATGGACCCAGCCAATGAGATAAGTCCCGTTTTTTTTTCAACTTCGCACTTTAGGCTTGCGTCTAGCAACTTCTTATTTGAAGAGACGTTTTGTGACCTTATTTTAGTACAAAACAAAGATATATCATTCGTGTATATTAGATAGTTATTACTTTTTGATTTTGACACGCCTGATGGCTGATCAATAATGAAAAACGACACGGTAATCACGAAATATTGATCCGTATATTAGTTAGCATTAGCATATACTTCATGCAGTGAATAATCGAATTTCTGAATAAAACAATTATAGCAAACATTTTCACAATTGATGACACTATTTAGTTTTTCATCTTCAGTCATTAGCTGGAGGACATATCTATGGTGTCCCATCGTTGTCACGCGTAAAATTGAAAAAAAAAAAATAAAAAATAAAATAAAAAATTTGAAATAAAAGTAAAATAAAAAAATAGTTGTGGAAAAACATAAAAAAAAAATTAAAATAAAATTAAAAAAAATAAAAATAAAATGCAAAAAAAAAATTAAAAATAAAACGAAAATAAAATAAAAACGTAATAAAAAAAAAGCAAAAAAAAATTGAAAAAAAAAACGTGAATAAAAATAAAATAAAAAGGTTGACAACGATGGGCCGCCTCGTGGCCCATCGTTGTCACGCGTTTTTATTTTGAGAAAATTTGCTTCGGCTTGGGACCAACGTTGTCATGCATAATCCTACGCGCACAAACGGTGTTCCCTGGATTTCTAACTCATTACTGATTTTCTTAAGCAATATTCAATAAATTTAATATGCAAATGTTCTATAAATTCTCCATAATACAAGTTTAACTAGAAGTAATATATATATTCATAATAATGATAGGAGCATATAGAATTGAATACGAAAATTCGAGAAATTTGTTTTTACGTGTAGAAGGTAATTGAATTGGAGAATGCTGCTTAGGTGCTCAGTTGTCCGGACACTCCGACACCGATACCGTCTGATCGTACCCGATTTGACGAGCGATTGGCTGTACCGGTAGCGTACCGTAGGTTACCGGTACCGTACCTCCATGACAATAGCAATAACCGGTACCATGCTGGTAATTAATATTTCTTATCATTATTATAAATATATTACTTCCAGTTGAACTTGTAGCATGGAGAATTTATAGAACATTTTCGTTCTGAATTTATTGAATATTGCTCAAGAAAATCAGTAGTGAGTTAGAAACCCAGGGAACACCGTTTGTGTGCGTAGGATTATGCATGACAACGTTGGTCCCAAGCAGAAGTAAATTTTTTTTAAATAAAAACGCGTGACAACGATGGGCCACGAGGCGGCCCATCGTTGTCAACCTTTTTATTTATTTTTTATTCACGTTTTTTTTTTTCAATTCTTTTTTTCCCGTTTTTATTTTATTTTCGTTTTTATTTTTAATTTTTTTTTTAAATTTTTTTTATGTTTTTTTACAACAATTTTTTTATTTTACTTTTATTTTAAGTTTTTTATTTTATTTTTATTTTTTTTTTTCAATTTTACGCGTGACAACGATGGGCCACCATACATATCACAGTCGGAAGGTGACTGTGATGCAAAACATATTCACTAACGGACCCAAGGAATGTTCTCCTAAGTGTTCCTCGTCCCCTGAAACCCATGTCAATTACACTCGCTTTTTTTCTTTGTGCATCCCACAATAGATTCACCAACCGCGCAGCTCGACTGAGACATTGCAACAAATTCGTGTTTCAGTCTGAGTTGATAACATCCGAGTGTTCGCTGTCGTCAACACAAATTACAACTCGAAACTTGGAATTTGTTGTGCCAGTCATAGCTTTAAAGTCAAACACTCCTCAATATGCTCAAAGCAGAGTAAAAATTATTATTCGCAATATGACACGAATAAAGATGCAATTTTCTCTGTCAAATGTAAATGTTCAGTTTGGTTTTTGAAATCAAGTAAAGTCAAGAAATGTTACAAAAGCTCGCCTGAATAACATCATAACCAATGTGACACAAAATATAACAATATTTCTATTTCTTATGACAGTTAAGAATTTTCAACAATGTGCATAAATTAACACAGGTATTTTCAACAATTTTTAGGTTAACATTCTCTATTTTGTGAAGTTGCTGATAGAATTATTATTATTTTTTTATATTGTTATGCATTTGTGATATCAAATAATATTGGCGAATAGAAATCTCAATATTCCAATGTATACAACCATATCAATAAATGAAAATAATTTACACTTTGGTGGTATTACATATGTAAGGGATTTTTCAGCGTAAAAGTAACTGATTATAATTGGATTAAAAAAAACAATACATATCTTAATTCTGGTAATCTTCTGATAAATAAAACCTAAAAATGGATGTTGCATATCGTCACGCTAATAACCGAATTGCGTTTTATAAAATAGTTTTTTTATAAAATAGGTATTTATGTAATGCTGCGCACCTGTCTGTTAACTCAAATTTCATTTTAAGAACTCCGAAACCCATAAAAATGGAGATTTATTATGACATGTACATTTGTGCAATTGTTTCGTCATAATGAATTATCATTGTTACCACAGGACTATTGTAAAGTATCGGCAAAGTATTTTCGAGTTTTTGCATCTCAGATTCTGGCTTAGCGCGTATTAATTTGAATCTATACTACAGTATAGGAAGACGTGCACTTGTGATATTCACTGTCCGAGTCCAATTCACCTTGGTTGGCTTTTAGGGGGGAATTGCTGTTTTATTCTTTATATTTAATCTTAGTCTTATTTCGGTGGGTGTGCAGAACGTGTTATATTGATGAAATATATATTTTTAAACATAAAAAATAATGTAATTGAAACTGATTACCTATTTTTGGGATTGGACATTGTAGATACTGAGAATTACATTCGTTTTTGGAATGTTTAGTTTTCAGGACTGGTGCATATAGTAAAGTTGCAAAATTGCGTATGTCCCCAAGTCATAGACACATTTCTGCCTAAGTCACAGTGCTCCATTATGACGTCACTTAACTGCGTCATACAAATTAACTTAAATCCGGCTACGATCAAAAAATTGAACCATGGCAAATTATTGACTCTCAATGGCATAACAATATCATTAGGAAGTTTTTTACGTCTATCTCAAAACTGCTTAAAATGACTTACGCAATTCGGTTATTAGCGTGACGATATATAGTTATGAAGTTTTCATGCAAATGTATGATAAGTGCTTAAAATGTGATTACTCAATATGCTTTGTAGAATTGTGGAAAAAATTATATATATATATAACGACTTTAGAAGCATTTATTGGCGTTGCTCCGGGCAGATTAAAACGGGAATAGTGCTGTGATGAAGTACGTAATCACTGGTTGAACCGAGAAGCGCTCTTGAAAATGTTTGACTTCTTGATGCCATAACAACTAGATTTGCATCTCTTTTTTTAGCTTGATCTACGATTGCTTCGCCAACACTGCCATTCGGATGATACATATCAAATTGGTGTTGTATTCCCAATTGGTTGCAAAGTGAGTTATAACGTCCCTCAATTACTTTACTTTCATCAACAATGTTTTTCATTGTCTTTTTAAAATCCTCGAATGGTACGGACCCAGACGTCGGTGCACTAATCGCTAATGCAGGAACTGCGGGCAGCACCGTGACGTGAAGTATTATCAATTTATTATCTGGTTTGTGAATACAGCTTGTGTAATAGTTGAATGCTTGTTCGGCATTCTTACTGTCGTCAACGCATAGCACAGTGACAAATGGAGCTCCCGTTGCCATTCTCAAGAATTTATTCCCAAATTTATTAAACAAAACTTGCTGATATTCTCTAAAACAATTTATATCGGTTAGTTTAGTGTCAAAACACACGGTTTTGATAAAGCCCACCGAAAGAACAAACAAACACAAATATTATTATTATACACACGACAGTTATATTACATCATTTCCGTTGTACATATAAAATAGTATCGTCAAATAATATCTAACAGATACAAACTAGTCGCATCTTCTAAATTTGTCACAACGCAATGAATAAAAAGAAGAAGAAAGCGTTTATCAAAGTTGAAACATCCTAAGGCGTCCCGAACAGTCCTTTCCTTCATATTAGAACAAATTGTAATTGACATTATTTTGATATTTGTAAAGGGATCTGAAATTGTATTCTTCACCTTACCAATAGGTAGTCACGAAATGAAAGTTATAGTCAATGAAGTAATGTCGATGCCCAGCTGTTTTCGTAAATGATTTTTTCTAAGGGCGCCGTAAAAAGATAAGCGTCCCTCCAGTACCAACTAATATATATTATATCGGAGTGTTATAATTTTGCTCATAGTATTCTATACGTTTGCTGATGTTCTGTTAATATGGAATTGTCAGCGACCTTTTACAGCCTAGTTAAAGTGAAATTATAATCAAAAACTTTGTGATTTTCAGACCCAAACGACTTTTATATCCAACCTCTCTCAAATTACAACTAAATATATTCACAATTTCAATACAAAAGAAGGTATTTCACATTATATAACTTGTAGGATGCTTGTTATCTCAAAAGCAATCCTAAATAAAGCTTAGTTAAAAACACAAACTCTCAGTTAAATAGAGTTTAACCCAGCACACGACTTCCCTCTGACTCAGTTAGGGCAGAGCTCAACCCAGCAGACAACGAATAAATAACTTCTTGTTGTATTACGACGACACACAGAAGAATATAGTTACACCATCAAACCAGTGAATAATAGAGTTATTTTACCGCCTATATAGAATGGCTGAGACGAATGTCATTCCTTCAGGGAATGGCTTCTTATGTGGTATCATTTATAATGAATAAAGTAAAAGTCCGCAATTCTTCTATAAACCAATTTAGAAAGTCGTCGGTGGCCAATTATTTAGTTCGCTATAAGTGTTCAGGGTAATTAAAAACAGGCTTTTGCAGGCCGGTTTTGCTCGAGGGCAAAATAACTTGTTTCCAACTGACGCAATTCATATGAAGACCAATTAAGTAGGCTACTTAACGTGAATTTATTTTTTTCTATACCTTTTCCTAATTTAGAAAAAATCTTGGGCTAACCAGTTTTCCTTCTTTCTAAAATTGGTAAAAATCTGGTCTAATTAACTAATATTCCATACAAACTCATCAAACTCATCACCCCTGATTATCCTCAGACACGATGTTGGCTTTTGCATAGCCTCGTTTGCTTCTATTTTGTGCAACTCAGAAGTCTGACATATTATTGATTAATGCACCGATAGTTGTTTGTCATTGCGCATCTGCAATGAAGACTGCTTCAGTCGCAAATACGTTGACATTATTTAAGCGCGTAGCTGGATGCAGACGTGTTACGAAATTGATGTTATCTATTAAAGAGTTGCAGCAATATTAAGAGAAGCAAATTACTTTTCTCATTAATGGATTTCTATGAAAATCAATCATTTGTATCGAAATGGTATCATGATATACTATGCTTAATAATATTATTGGACGTTAATCAATTCTCATTTTATAGCATTATTCGTAACATATTCGTGACGTTCTTAATATCAATTCAATGCTTATATTATCGAGAGGAAAAAAGATTTTTGTACTGTCTCGAACTCAATATTGATCTGGACGTTTTTACCTATTTTTACATTCTGGTCATTTAAATGCATAATTATGTCACCATATCAAACCAAAATCAATAAAACCGAGTCTTAAAGTTAGGTAAGTACCTCATTAACAAGGTGTGCTGGTTGCAGCTATGTAAATTGAGTATGACAGTGCTTTTTCTTGCAGCTGCAGCCACTCCAGTTCTTCAACAAATAGTGTCACCAACAAAAATCCGATTTTGTCCATAAATACTATGTCGATTGATTTCAATAGTTTTGTACGAAACTTTTTGTGAAGACCTCTCATTTTTTTCATACTTTTTCTAACCCATAGCATCTTGTTTTACCCCAAATTGTCCCGATTTTGAAGATTTACAAATTGTGTTGATCAATCGGATTTTTCATTTGTGGCGTGCTTGGTAAACATCTATCTTGAGACATATACTTACTTGTTCATGTAACATATCCCGTGGGCGCCGTTTGGATAGGGGCGCAAAAAGGAAGGGAAGTTTTAATCGTAAAATATTTCAATAAAATAATTTAAAACTCGTATTACATAAATAATAACGTTGACGTATCACAATTCATCAACAGCCAGTAAAAATTATCAGTCAACGAACAAGTGGCACCTTTAAAATTTGCCATGAGTGCCATTTTACGTAGCTACGCCACTGTGTATACTCAACCATTAACAATATAAGCATGTGCTTAGGTCACCAAGGGAAAAAGTGCATTGCAGAAACTGTCCATATAAGAGTCTTCAATGGTGACTCAGTGTTGTAGGGGTAATTCGAGCTGCTCAACCGACTCAGACCTCAATATTGACCCGGTTGAAACAATTAGTGCATGTTCTTCGTTCACAAGTATAATCTTAAACCCCTTTATATAAAAATGTTTGTAGGCATGAGTACTATTTTAAAAATCCATGCAAATTAATCATGATTCCAATAGATATTTCCCAGACCTTTGACACCAGGAACATTTTCCCAATGCTTCACCATTCCAAACAATTTTATGCTTATTTTGAGTGTTTCAAGAATTAGCGCCTACAATTTTTTTTTATTTTTTATAAAAACTATTTGACCATGTGCCACTTACACGTTGGCTTAGTCTGTCGCAGCGTTTGAGGGACTAATTTTTGATTATTGCGACCAAACTAAAGCTCGGGGGACATAATGAAAATAAAGTTATTAAGAAATGGTTTTTGGAAACACAACAAGTTATTCAAATAGATCTTGTCCTTGAAAATTGACAAGTAACACGCGAAACAACAAAAACGAAGCAATGTTTGAAAGGCATTATCTGGCACCGTGTGTACTATAAAAAAAACTGGCTCTTTATTCTAATCTTGTTACTGGGCAGTTCAAGCTGCTTCGTTCCACAAGTTTGTCCGTTTCGTAAAATAATTTTTTTTCTCATGTTGTTCAAATTAATAATGCTCCCTACTAATATACCGACATTGTGTGTCATTACTTATCGATCTTGATCGGTAGGTATGTTGTTAGGTATTTGTATGTTTGTTTGTTAGATACACGCGATATCTCACGAAAGCGAGGTTGCATGCGCATTTATCATGTCTCGGATCAGAAGCCTATTGATTTTGGATGAATTATGTCGTATAATTAGCGAGTTATTAATTAATTAGTGATGAGACACGCGGTGTCACTAATGAGTCAGTGCGAAAGATACACGCCGCTAAATCGATAAGTCGGCGATCTCTGATCGCTATCTCGTTGTGTATTGCAGCAAATACTACTTCAGCTTTAAAGACGTCAGCATATTCAAAATATGTTAGAATTCAAGCACGTGGTACACACAAGCATACACATCTTATAAAATTAGTAATATTTATCCGAAGAATTGTAGCAATGTTGAAACAAAAAGTAGCAAATGCTATTTTAATCTTATACTTTTTATATGAACGAGAAGTTTATATCAATACAAAATATTTTCAAATTCTGGAAATGAAATAACAGATACGTAGTAGCCTCAAGCTGATAGTGGTCATTATTTTTTAAGTTAATTTTTACGTTTTCTCTTTACGTACCTATTTCTTATAAAATGATAATGGTAATTTAACATATTACGTAAATGTTTGTATTATAACACAATATAATATACGCTTTGTTACTATATATATATCCACAATATCAAAAGATATTTTAACACAAATTAGATCTAAAATGATAAACTCGGTATCACGTTCACAATTTTTATTCCGTGAACAATGATGACAAATACTAACAAAAGAATGTAGGCATAAAATATTCATGTATAATAATCCGGTTTGTTAATAATAAAGTAAAAATGATGTTTTTGTGGATGAGTTTAGGAGAATGACTTTATAATACGATGAGTAATATTATAAGTTTACTTCATCCTTTCTCAATTCAAAAGGACAGAAAAAAATAAATGAAAGATAAAATGAGTTTGGACAATTTGTAATCAAACGCATGTTATTTACTTCGAAATTGAACTAAAGAATCATGACTGCCTGTGAGATGTGGGAGAGGACTCTGAAATCTCTGATCGTTTGGATTATTTGTACACAGCTAGGTGAGTCAAGTCAAATTTAACCAGTAAAAATAATATCACATAAGCACAAATTACGAGAAAATGTTAATTTACACAGTTTTACTGGGGAAGGGAAGTCGCAGGGAACCAAAGCTGGTTATCGAGCAGCGACACCCGAGGTTCTAATTTCTAATTAAAAAAGTTGGAATTCTAGAGTTTTGAAACTACTAGGATTCCAACTTTTTGAATTGAATATTAGAACCTCGGGTCAGACATGTTTTTTTGTTGTTGCTATCTTTACATCAATAACAAGAATGAATAGAGTGGAATAGGCTAACATTCATATCTTTTTGTAAATTTTAAAGACACAAGTATAAATGAAAAGCATGCTTGAATATTTAAAATGAGATTCATTTGTATACAATTTTATCTAGGATTGTATAACCACAAAGTTTTAACAAATTATCGTATCGATTCCACTTGATTAAAATTTATTTGTTTCCCTCCTATTTCGTTTTTTTAGGAACACACGCTCAGTGCAATTCAAAAACTTCAAAATTTAACATGAACATGGGAATATACGCGCTTCCATCGTCATCGTCTGATGTACAAACACAGGTATAGAATATAGCTAAACTGAAATAATATCTTAATCTTGGCAAAGACACCAAAGCGGTCAGCATTGACACAGGAAAGCTGACAGAACCTACATACGATAATAGAAATCGGCTGCCATGTCCCACGTTTTACTCCAGATAAATCCTAGCTGCGTCTCTGCGCGGGCCACAGATTGAACACTCCACTCGTCAATAGAGAGGATGGGATTTACATAATTATCCCGGAGAAAGGAAAGCCGCTGAGACGACTTAATCATATGGCGAACCACGGCCTCTCGTCCGGTTACCGGTTCATGTAGGGTATGGGATTAGATAGCCAGTAATTTCTCACATAACTATCCCCTAATGGGATTCGAACCTGCGAACCCACGCAGGGCAATCAGAGGTGCGGTTGAGAGCGTATAACGCTAAACCGAACCAATGTTTCTATGTTATATTTTCAATTCTCTTTACGATACAGTATAGATAGGTAATTTGACACCCAAATATGATGTATCAGTGTTTACGTTGAAACTTCAATGTTTATTTCTTGAAGTGAAAATTAGACATATATTTGACAAAGGAGGAAACGGAATGTCCGAGGGCGACAAGGCGGCGCGTCAGTTTCCTTCTTCGAGCTAACCATCCTCGGCAATTCTATTTATATTTTCAACAAAATTACATGCGTAGAGATTTGTTGTCTAAACGGGATATTTACAATTAGGCTTTCTCGGGTTAAGCTTTATCCAGAATGACCCACAACCTTTCAATTGACTCTATGATTGGAATGTAGGGAATTTGTACAGACCTAACTTGTTGTTTAGTAATTTGGTCGCGCCACGCTTTCTATAATGCCGAATTAATTAAAGTTTCAGGCACATGGTGTTAGCTCTATTCCCGATGCCTGTTCATTTGTCTTCTCCGACGTGTCCTGGTCATTCGGAATACCTTACAAGTTTTCATCTGTTATTGACTTGAATACAACCGATGGCAACCTCATCACCATACAAGAAGTGGAAACTGCATTCAGTCTTACAAAAATATCAGTCTATAATTTCAAAGATGTAGTTATATCAGGTGAACAGTATTTCTCAATATTATCATTCATGGGTAGGGTAGGATGTACATATTTAAACCGTTTATTTATACCGTTAGACAGGATAGCTGATAACGCGGCTCAATCGTATAGCTAACCACGGAATCTCGTATGGTTACCAGTCCACTGGTCTATGCCAGGCGTGTATGGGATTCGTTAGCCAGGTATTGGGTGAGGTGGCGAGCGTATTCCTACGCTTAGCACAATGCGCCACACCGCCGAGCCAAATAATAATAGAACTTGAGTAAACCTTATCAAAGGTGAGAAGACACATATATTCATGTGATGATGAGGATATTCTGACATCCTAGTGTTCTTGAGATGACACGATTTATGTGGATACTAATATGTTTCAAATTGTTATTATTTGAACAAACTAGATAAATTAATATAGATAATTTTCTGTTTTCTTCAGACTATAAAGAATGTGAAAACGAAAACGTTTGTGGACAAAACACCAAATGTGAAGAAATAGAAGGTTCATATCAATGTTCCTGCAGTGATGGAAATTTTAGTGCAACCCATACTTCTGAGTTATATGGCAATATCACATGTGAACAAGGTGATGCCTTTAATTTGCTATGCTATGCTTATGTAAAAATGCATTATTGAAAATGCAAACTGCACATATACACTTTATACACTTTGTGCTATTATGATAAGAAAATAATTGTATATTCATATGATACTTCTCAAATGGTTCAGGTTTAAACAAATTATTATCAGTTGGACTCCACCCTAAATTTTAACCATTTTTTCCTTTACAAACAATAATATTTCCTTACCTATTGTTGTAAAAAACAGTACAAAACAATTATTATGTTCATCATTTAGAATGTTCATCAAAACAAACTGTGTATGAATATGAAGTTGAAATGAAGTCTAGCAGTTATGATGAATACAATTCTAGTGTAAGATTTTTTTTAAATATACTACATATTTATTTCACAATCGGATTTTTGATAACAACACATACCACTTGAAAAAAAATGGACATGTCAAATATTATTGATATTTGCAGTGGTTATAGGACAACTATTCCTGTCAAGAATATCTGCATATTGTATTGCACTAAACATTTCACAATGACAAATAAATGATGTCATTTGAATTCTACCAAAATATGATATTATCCCCCCAAAAAAAAAATTACTACTACTATGAACATAGTTTGTCAAAATTTAATATATGAAAAATCAAATTACATTTTGTTTGTATTTTCTTTGCATTTAAGACAATTTTCTTAGAAACATTTTTTAGTGTGGTGATTTATATTAACTGAAAAAAAAAAAATCAATCAAATCTGTGGTTTTGAGTTGCTATGATATCAATGAAAATTATACCCCCATTTATTGGAATGTAAGGACATGCTAGATTTTGAGCAAATTTGGTCAAAAGTCATACTTTTTCAGTTGGAAAGTGAGTTGAGAAAAGCATTCAGTAGTATATGTGTTGTTCAATTTTGGAATCAAGTGTTCGACGAAAAACATGGTGGAAAATACAAAGCAAATGGTGTTGTTGGGATGAACACAACAGATGGAGCAATTCTGAGTCGGGATAGTGTCAAAACTGTTTTTGAAATGGATCTTGGATCAATAGAGATTTTAAAGGTGAAACTTGAAGGTAATTTTTGACATGAGTTTTTAATTTCTACCTTAACACACCAATATCAATATTTGAAAACTTATCTATCTATCTACAGCATTGTGAGGTTGGGAATGTTCATGTGTAATCAGGTCAACCTGGTATATACCGTTATCGGGATATCTAACAAATAGGAAATATACGTACGTACAAATTTAGAGCACTGGCGAGCTAGTAAACAGGGCTAGTAGAGCACACAAAAACATTTCTGTCATTGGTTACTACTGTGTCCTTAATACGAAATCAATCCACAAAATCTTTGTTAATAGGAATAATCCTGGACATTGTCGCACATCCTTATTTTCCTTGTTCTTTCAGTAAGCATATATATATTTAGGATTTGACGAATGCGAGGAGAACACTCATGCCTGTGAGGAATTTACTGTTTGCAAGGACAATGCAGAGAGTTACACATGTGTTTGCGTTGATAATTATGTTGTATCTAAAAGAAATGATAACAAAGAAACAATCGCTTGTGCCCCTGGTAAAACAAAATTCTGGTTTTGCACAAATGCACTGCTACAAAAATAAAATAAATTTGAACATTTTATCAACATTTGATTATATTACGCTACAATTATGGTGTTTTATGGATCATGAGGCACGCTTAAAATACTTTTTTTTTTTTCAAAAATCGATCGAATGCCTTTTAAGCTGGGTTGCATAATATATGGATCTAGTAGTGTTTTACGCTTCATTGCTTATACGCAAAACCAGTAGTGGTTGCGCTTGATAGTCCGATACACCTTATGTATAACCCGATGTGCTTCATGGTCCCTAGAATACGGTGATAATATTATTTGAAATCAATCCATTATTTTGAAGCTATATCCATAATTTATTTGTTGTGTTCTCATAAAAACATCACAGTGAGGGAAAAAGGTTCTTAATTGAATGTATTTCATACGATTACATTCTTGTCATTCAACTGTATCACTATATCTCTAATCACCATACTAAACTAACCATGAAAATCAATAAAACCAAGTACAATCAAGTATGACACAGAATATTGACACTAGTATGACAACAACTCCAAGTACCGTTATGCATAACTTGTCGCCTTATGCACCATTTATTTATTAGGACTTCCTACTCTAACTGAGGAAACAACTTCATATACAACAGTTGAAGCTACTACTATTGGTGAGATTAATATCCAAGTTTACACACATACAACTATATTATTGAGCAGTTACAAATATAATTTCTATAGTCTTGAGTTTCTGCTAGAGATTGGTGACTTTGAAAGGTATCAGAAAACATGTTGTCAATTACAGATCCATCTATATAAGCAAATAATATTTATTTTCTCTGGCTCATTGCATATTGACCAAAATAACATTCTCAATTGAAACAATTTGTGGGTTTTCCCAATGAACAGAATGCCTTTTGAATGCTCAAGTAAACTGTCATTCATAGTGGATTCACTGTGAATCATGTTGTCAATATTTTAATTGTATGATTCAGGAAGGTAAATTTAAACGCACCTAATTATAATGAATTGATGTCTTCATAATATTGTTCAAAAAATGGGTAAATGATATGCTACTGTAGCAATTATCTTATTATGCATGTTTTCTTCAAAAACTATTTGTCAATTTATTTTTTGAAAGTATTATACACTGGAAGTACAACAGCCAGTGTACAGTATGAAGAAATTCTTGTGGCTGATTTATCGATGGCTTTAGAAGAAAAATTTGAAGCTAGTCTGTCTGTGTCAACAACTTCAGAGTTCCAGTCATTGGAATCAACATTAACATATGAAGTAATTAATATATTTCCTCACAGTTAATTTATTTTTTGCGCACACAAAAGTTGATTGTTTTAAATTGATCATTTGCTAAATTTTTCATTTGATATACACATAATAATCTTGTTTTAGGTGGGAAAATCATTGCAGATCGATAGAAATTTCATTGGCAGTACAGTCGATAGATTCAGGTTAGAGCAGTTTGATTTAGGGCAATCATGTCATTTTAAAAACTATGGTTTTTACACTAACTACCTTTTTATATAGTGAAGGATCTATTGTTTGTCACCTGGAGGCTACATTTGGCACTGTAAAACGCTCTAATCCTGATGATGCTAAGCGAGATCTTAGAAGAGAAACAGTTTCATCTTTAGAAGCCTTCATATATCATTTTGAAAGTGTTGGACTAATTGGAAGATATAAAATCATCCCAGGATCTCTGTTTTATGTAATTAGAGAAGGTGGAGCTTATTTTTTTTCATTGTGGTTTTCTTTATTAGTTATACAGAATGCGCTATTTTCGCTAGTGAAAATTTTTGCACATTTGAGAACCTTCTTTTTCTTCTATTTAAGTAGGCTACTGTTTTCTTTCAGACCTTTCCTGCTATGGTCAACAATACCCATGTCTTGATGTAGAGGGAGTTAGAGTGATTGGTTGTATACCTCAATCATGGACTTGCGATAAGCTTGCTGACTGTCCAAATGCTGATGATGAATTTAATTGCACAGATGTTAAAAATAACAATAAGCACTCAAATTCTGGAGGTATTTCATTTAAATATCTAGTGACTACTGTTCTTTCCGAAGACAGGCAAACCTTGCTAACCTTAACCGTGTGTGTTTTGCTATATACCATAATATGGTATCTGTTTTTATAGTATCCTCTTTCTATACAGTCATGTCAACCTGTGGATCTGAAATAGTGTTGTCAAAAAATGAAAGTGTAACAATAAGCCATTCAACATGGCCGAAATACTATTCTCCAAACAGTGACTGCATTTGGAACATCTCTACCAACTCAAGTTACTGGTTATCACTATGGTTCCACAGTTTCAGTCTTGAACTCGGTTATGTTTGCGAACATGACAGTTTGGAACTTGCAGTTCCAGTGAATAAGTTGTCTTCAAACTCATCCGCAAAATACTGTGGTATTCTGTCGGGAATAAGTGCCCCACCTTTTCACTCTGTAAGTAGACAAATTCTATTTTCCTCATATTGGTTAAAATGGTGACATTAATTGATATTGTATTTGATTCCATATTTATCACTTTCTCACTTGGTCTTTTTTGTAACAGTCTTTTTATAAAAATTTTGCCAAAATACAGCTTTGTATATGTACCTACATCTCATCATATCAGTTATTGTTAGTACTTCTAAAATAGCTATATAAACTCTCCATGCCCCATTCAAAAAAGCTATCATCTTCTAAAAAAAGTATGGCCCTTTCAAAAAGGGGATATCTGTTCTTATATGACAGTACCCATTTTAGTAAATCTGTGCCCCTATAAAATTACCATTATGAATGATCATGATTTCAGCAATTCATATTCTATGCGATTGATTGAAAATCTACTTTAAAGAATTGTATGAAAAGATAACTCACTTGTAGATAGGTTTGCTCAAAGTGACTATAGTCACTTTGGGTTTACTCAAGTAATATTACAATGATTCAAATCTTTGCCTGTTATACAAAGCTACAAATTTAAACACGACCTAATCAACTTGTAGTATGAGTTATTAGTTGAATGGTAAATATAATACCATGTTAATCGTTATTTTTAGATAATACCACAAGATGAAGTATATATGCGATTCAAAACTGACGGCTTCACAAACTACTGTGGATTTCTACTGACAGTACGTCCCAGAATAAAATATCTGGGAAGTGGCAACAAAACCTGTAGAGAGTATCATTGCCAAATGTCATCGATCAGGTAAGTGAATGGTAAATCCCATCGATTAACAATATTTGCTCATGAAAACATGTTAGTGGCCATCCGGTCCATGTATCTTTGGAAACCTGTTCACGAAAAAGGACATACCACACATGGTTCATTCTTTAGTTACTTACAGCAGCCAGAGAAGCACATCCATACATTTCATGTCATACAAAGGTCATCAAAAATAAATCCTGTGACTCACAGGATGCGTTTTTATGTGAGGCAGCAAGTTATTGTACTATGCTCTAAGTTTTTATATTGTTGTAAAACTAATGTCACGATATTACAACAAAAAAAGAATAGTTTTTGCATGTTTTTGTACAATGAATTTTTGAATATAATATTTATTTTAGCATGTGCATACCTTATTCCTGGGTTTGTGATGGAGAAGAAGATTGTTTTCTTGGAGAAGATGAGGAATCCTGCGATTATCAAAACACTTTCGCTCCTTCTTGTCATAAAGAGAGCAGTGTCAAAGCTCCCACTCAATGTGTTATTGAATCGCATTGTGATCGCAGTGATTCACAATACATTTGCTTACCTTGGTCTCAATGTTATGATAATTATACCACTTCCAACTGCTTTGGAGACTCTTCGAACACAAGATCTTTCGAGAGTCACTCATTGTCTACATATGGATTTGATTGTGGAAACAATATATCAATTCCTTTAAGTTGGGAATGTGATCGTATGGTAGATTGCCCATCAGGAAAAGATGAGCTTAATTGCAGTTCATTAACAAAGGACCCTTTTGATGAAATTATTGAATCAGGTAATATAAAATTATTTCCATTTTCTATTTAATAAGACACGATTATTTCTAATCGAATCTACAAACAGATCAAACTGTTTGTAATCAAATATAGTGACATTTTCTAAGATTCCATATATTTTTTTTGCTATAGCGAGGATGTGTATAGCTACAACTGAACTTCATATTTTAAATGAAACATGCCATAGTCCACGAATATAATCTGACATGTTTTTCAGAAAATATGGTGAAGAGATGTGGAGGTCATTTCATAGGAGATAATCTGACAGTATTCACTCATCAGAATTTCCCAGAAAAATATTCTAGTAGTACATCATGTATTTGGACAATTCAAGCCTCAATTGGACGGGTTGTCAGAATATTTTTCATCAAATTTGCTTTGCCAAGTGTAGCTGGGTGCCTTGCAGATATGCTGACTGTTTATGATGGTCCTGATGCATCTCATCCTCTCATTGGTTGGCACTGTCGAACTCCATCACATATCCCTCTGTATATAACATCCACTAATAACACTATGACAATAATTTTCAAATCTGATTGTGACAACAATGGGCAACTTGTTTTGGCATACAAGGGTATCCCTCCTCCTCATATGCATGAATTGATGAAGTCATTTCAGGAAGATTGCTACATAACGGGTTTCTCATACAGAGGAAATGCCTCAACAACAGGGTCTGGTTTGGTGAGTACTTTAAACATTGTGTGTTTGTATTTGCAGACTTTGTTGCCATCTCTCTTTTCATGGGGTTGCAAATAAGACCGATGTATGGTCGTAAATGGATGTTAATTTAAGGTATTTTAAGGTACAGGGTGATCATACCAAGTGTAGACAAATGTTTATTAAAATATCTACGATATAAATGTAAGGAAAAAAAATTATTTTGCAGAAAATAGCCTTATAAAGATAAATAATATAATCCATTGTTATTTTTCGATATATCTTTCCTTTGCGTTCACTACACGCCTCGATCTGTCTTGAACTTGACTGCACCAGGCACGCATGGTTTCTTCTGGAATTTTGTCCCAACAAGTCATCAATCTATTCTTTAAAGCAGTTATTCTGAACCTGAGGTACGCGCACCCCTAATGGTACGCAAGCAGCTTTTAATTATTGCAACAATAAACTTTTGTATTTGCTGAACAGCGTTTATGGCGCTACTGACTCTTATCTTTAGAGATCGCCCACGCCCGTTACTGTCCACCATAAATGACAGACACGTTTTCGTCGTTTTGCGTTTTGCGTCACAATGCGTCTGCATTAATAAATCGGCAAATAAGGAGCGTTCGTGATAGCGTCTAGCACCGATCAAAGCGTATTCGTCCAAGGTTTCGGATAATTTAGTGGTTGTATTAAAATGTATTGTAACCTTTCCTTTCGGGTTTCCTTTTGGGTGGACAGTAACGGGCGAGAGCGATAAAAGACAAGAACTGGTAACGCTATAAAAGGCGTTTAACGAATACAAAAGTTATTTGTTGCAATAATTTAAAGCTGCTTTCGTACCACTTGAAAAGCTCCCGTGTATCACTCACTAGTGGTGCGTGTAACTCAGATTGAGAACAACTGCTCTAAGGCATAGATTGGTGACTTGTTGGGACAAAATTGCAGAAGGAATCTTTCGTGCCTCGTGCAGTAAATTTCCAATCAGATCGAGGTGTGTAGTGAAGGCAAAGGGAGGATATATCAAAAAATAACAATGGATTGTATCATTTATCTTTATAATGCTATTTTCTTTCTTTTTTTTCTTTTTCTCTTTTACATTTTATCTTGTATATATTTTAATAAACATTTGTCTACACTTGGTCTGATCACCCTGTACATAAATACATGTATAAATTGATATATATTATTAGGTACATCCAATTCTCTCAATAATGAATCATATTCAGGAATGTCAGCAATGGCAAAAACAAAGTCCATGGCAACATGATCAACTTCCCGAGAAGCTTCCGAATGCAGGATTGGATGAAAATTATTGCAGATACCCTCTGGAAGATTGGAGAAAACCATTTCAAGCACCTAGATGTTTCACGCTTAATGATTCGGTAACTTGAGCTTTGAGTTGACAATAAGTTTTGAAATAGTGTCTTACCTTATTGATGATTTTATTTTAGGTTAGTTCTGATGATCTGTTCTAGATTCCAGATTGAATTATAAAAATAAAATTATTGTAACCCAGGTTCCCTTTGAAAGTTGCGATCAGATACCAAGATGCAAGTTTCCAAAATGTCCATATGATGACATGTATCAGTGTGTTACTGGAGACTGTATTCCAGTTACAAGACGATGTGACGATATTCCTGATTGTCCATTGATGGATGATGAAAATGATTGCCAATATCGGTAAGGCAGACATATATGCATAATGCACTTATGTTGTGTGTATGGCATTTGTTGATGGTTTGTAGCGATCAGCAACTCATAGCTTGGATGTATTCGTGTTTTGTAAAGATATATCGGTACTCCTGGAGTATGCGCACCAAAATGTCGCATAACCTAAACCTAACCTGGTACACAACCTGAGTTCAGGTTGTGCGCGATCTTGGTGCACATACTTCAGGAGGTCCGATATATCTTATACATTTCATTTTGAGATGAAATAGTTTCGAATAACATTGGGTAATAAAGTGGAAACATAATGACTATGCAGCAATAATCCATTCTCTTTACAGTTGGAAAGATTTTCAACAGATCAAACATCTTCCACAAGCATGTGCGCGAGGTGTTATGCCATCATCTCAAGCGAACATAACTTCGCAAAATGGATATTTTGGATTACCTGATGCATTCGATATAGAATATGAAAACACAACCATATTCTGTGAATGGAATATTGAACTCAGCTCTGCGTACTTGTTGTTGCTGTTTGACGCATACAATCTAACAAATCCAAATGATTATCTACAAATCTGGGAACATAATAAAGTTATTCTTGATTCAAGAATTACATCTCTTCCATCGAGTTCCTTTGATATGATGGTTCACTCCAACAGTTTGAGAGTAATCTTGAGGGCTACAGTATCAAAAGCGAGCCCTCCTATATTTCATATGAACTATAAAGAAGAAATATGTGTATATCGAGTCATATTACCAAGTTCTTGCAAGCATTCAAACATAACAGAAGGTGAAATTACATCACCAGGATATCCATATTCTGATTACAATCCAGGGACAACTTGTTTCTGGATTTTTACTCAAGAAAAAGATGAAACTTGTCAGTCACCAGAAAATATGTTTCGAATTGAGTTTGAAGTAATTGAAATAAAAATTGAAAGTGTTCCTTCAAAATCATCAATAGTTACTACACATGAATGCATCGATAAATTGGTGTTTTATAATGGTATTGGTCCCAACAAACAACCAATTAGAAGTCCTGTTTGTGGCACCAGGCCTCCCTCATTTAAAATATTGAGCTCGGGACCTGATGTAATAGTTAAATTTATCAGTGATAGAAAAAATCCACTGGCTATATACGATTATAGTGAAGGCTATGCTGATGTAAGAAGAAAACCAAATTCTTGTTGTTCCTATGACTGCGAACTCAACTATGCCTGTGTGGACTGTCCGGAGGACACAGGTATGTTTGCATTCAATTTTCTGTGGCATAGCATTAAGCAGACATCAAAATAAATATTCGAAAATGACATGGATGAAAGGCTACACTTCATATGTTAAGGTATAAATGATGGAAGACCCTTGTCCTTTAATATAAAGGCATTCATTTCAGCATTGACTAAATAAAATAAGGCAATGCGTTCATACGTCTTTTTGTTGATGAAATGACAATTATAATATTTTCCTGCAACCTATTTCAACTCCAAATTTCTTTTTTTCAGGTTACTTTTCAGTTTTATACAGATTTGTTCAGTTGGATAGTACAGAATCTACAACCTCTAGTGATTCAGATACCAGTGCCCCCAAACCATTTTGTGTGGATAGCTGGACCGAGTGGTTCAACGTTGCTAAACCGTCAGGTATCACTATCGCCGGTGTCACACTCTCCGGTGGAGATTTTGAAAGTATTTATAAAATTAGGCAAAAATATGACGAAGAATGGGGAGGTAACGGCAAGCTGTGTTCTGAGTCAAAAACTGTAGCAATAGAATGCCGCACTTCAAATGGGATTCCATGGCAACAGACAGGACAAATTGGACTTGAATGTGACTTGTTTGATGGTTTTATGTGCTATAATCGACCTCAGCCTGGCAAATGCTTTGACTATGAAGTAAGATTCTATTGCATATGTAACGAAAGTTCGTCTTTTAACATGGAAGAAATAATACCATTCACAGCAGCGTATAACACTTTTACACAACAAAATGATGTTGCTACTGACATGGAAAGCAGTGGATCAGGAGATATCATCATCAATACTATTCATAGCAATGTATCTACTAAACTTGAACTGACTACATCATTCTCGAATGGCACTCAAAGAACAAGCACAATGGCTAATGACAATGAGTATATGATTACAGAGTTCACCAAATTAAAATATCACACTGAAGCTTCCACAAAGTCAGAGTCAAAAAACCATGAGGAAATAATTACAGAGTTCCCCAGTTCAAAATATCACACTGAAGCTTCCACAAAATCAGAGTTAAAAAACCATGAGGAAATGATTACAGAGTTCCCCAGTTCAAAATATCATACTGAAGCTTCCACAAAATCAGAGTCAAAAAACCACGAAGAAGCGATTACAGAGTTCCCCAGTTCAAAATATCACTCTGAAGCTTCCACAAAATCAGAGACAAAAAACCACGAGGAAATGATTACAGAGTTCCCCAGTTCAAAATATCACTCTGAAGCTTCCACAAAATCAGAGTCAAAAAACCACGAAGAAATGATTACAGAGTTTCCCAGTTCAGAATATCACACTGAAGCTTCCACAAAATCAGAGTCAAAAACACAGTTGAGATCGAAGCATTCAATTTCAGGTGACGAAGGAGAACAAACATCGGTGAGGTTAGGTAAGCAATTTTGATATGAACAGGATGTGCGACTGCTGGAAATTTCATATAAATTTTACATTCATCTAAAATCTATATGCTCATGACAAATTTGACAAAACATCCTCTGTCAAGGATTCTACTTTCCTACCTGACAAGTGGACATTGCTTAACTATGGAGCTATGAAAGTCATGTCACAACTAGCTGGGCATTTCGAGTAAATCATACGAATCGGTTCAGAGCAAAATTTCAAATCGCCCCATTTGTTTTTATTTCGTTTCGGCCAATGGTTGAGGTGAACTCCTCATTTTTATTCTATTGAAGCCATATTTTTTCAACGCAATTCAGACATATGACTATTCTCTGTAAGGAGTTATTGATAAAACATGTTTCTTATGCTATGTGATCGCTCAGCAATCTGTATGAGTGATGAATTCTATGTTTTCAGTAATTTATTTGTTGACAGGACCAATTACAATTACAAAGAAGTTGCATACAGGTATATATCTCACAAGTAGTTAAGATTCGATTCGAAAATAATATTTAATTCGATTCTGAATTCATCAGGTTTTCGAGAACGCCCAGCCCTAGTCACAACTTGAACATTGTATAATTTTCAGTATCAACATGGACACAGTTGAGATACAGTATTACAGTGGCGCAGCCAGGGGCGTTTTTGGGATTGAAACACCCCCCCTCTTTTGAAATTTTTGGAAAACTGAAAAAGTCCCTAATAACGCGTATTGCATTTTGCTAATATCGCCGATTATTTTTGTCACCGTGACGTGTTATTTAGGCCGTAAACACTTTTACGTTGGTGTTTATTCTCCCTAAACCACAAATTTCCCACAAATTTGTGCCACAGCGACGATGCTGATTTATATATTTTTTTCTCGCACAAAATTGTGAATTCGATGAGAGTTATTATACATTGTGTGCATAAAGTGAATCCGCGACGAAAAGTTTTTGATTGAAAAGTGGCAATATAAAATACTAAAATAAACCGTAAACAATTTAAGTTTTGTTGCACGCGACAGATCAAAAACCCTTATTTAGGCATTGTAAATCGCAAAATTTCGTGTGCCTACGGCACACATTACGCTTGGTCGTCGTTGGGAATCATATCGTCACTGAAATCGAAACACAGTCAATTGTGCGCGGGATTTACCTTTTCATTCATTACTTTGAATTGCCGTAAAAATGTTTAGTGTTAATATTACACAAGGTTGGAAACGCGACTTTTTCCCGAGTCGTGATGATATAATATATAAGATAACTAATTAAAGTATAATTCAATCAATTTTTATTTTACTAAAATAAATTTTACTTAATGAGATTTGATAGCAGACTTCGGAATTTTTTAAACGACTTTATCTTAATAATCTGTGTGGCAGCATTGTGATAGAGCAAAGTCAGTGTTGTACAGCTTAGAATCCGTCGAATTCGCAAAATGGCAAAAATAGGAATCAAAACTGGATATAATCGGGAAATTTACAACACATTTTTATGTCCGCGGATTGCTGTGGTATTTTAGAACAATGACGCTTTTATTCATCGACGCAACCGCAGGTTTAAAGGAAGACAAATAAATTAATAAAGCAAGACATTTTAAATATGCACGTATCGGTCTTGGATTGATTACGGTACTTTGCGCAACAGAAACATCAATATTATCCCTCGAAAAGTCGTTCCGCGGGGATTTCGAGGCGATAAATATGTGTTTTTGATTCACTGATATACCCTATATGTATTTTAACTCTGCAGAATTTTATTACAAATGTTGAGATTTTTCTGACGGCGATAACGAATTCGCTAGATCACACAAAAGTATCGAAACTAAATACAATTAGGCATGCTTATCTCATATTGTACACTCAACAGATTGGCGTGGTATGTTAGAGTAGTAATGTTTATATTTTGACGCAAGAAGGCACAACCGCGACTTACGTTGGACAAAATTTTATTTATATAGAAAGATTTTAGATTCTTGTAGCTGTCATGAATTGAACATTTTAGGCGACAGAAAAGTCGGTATACGCTTAAAAAGTCGGCTTTTTTAATGAGCGCGTAATCGCGGCGATTGTTTCAGAAGGAAATGGAAATTTCCGATATTGAAACCCCCCCTTTCAAAATCCTTCGCGCTGCGCGCCTTCGCGTACTATATGAAATAATTAATATATTGAATTAATGTTGATTGTTATAATTTGTAGTGTGTAATCCTGGTTGGACTTCATGGCTACAGATACAAAGCAGTACAGACATCAACTTTTCTACTTTCGCAGAGCAGATTTCTTTATTGAAAGATTTGACAGCACTTCTACAGTCGCAAGACATTTGTCAAAACCCTATAGCTGTGTCATGTAGGAGAACGTCTGACAAAAAGTCCATTTTCGAAATACACAAAGAAATAAAACAAGGAGGTTGGTTAATTTTAATGACATTTATAGGATTTCGAACATTTTTGCATCCACCAAACAGCGTACAATAATAATGTAAAATTTTTTTATTCAACGGATGATTTGTTTCCAACTTATTTTAGGCAGTTCTCACAACTTCGATCCTGAGTATATTTGCGATCCACAATTGGGGGTGAAATGTAACCAAGTTGTCCCATGTCATCCGTGTGATTCCATGGAATTCAAACTATACTGTGGATGTCCGGGAGACTCTAATACAACTGTCAATGTGACACCGTATATTCCCCCATCACAACCGCCAGAGAAAATTGACCCCTTATTGTGCTACCACTGCAAGGATACAAAAACAGGGAAATGCTCTGATGCTTTGACTATGGATATGTCTGTTGGGAATTGCACCAATGGTGCCTGTTGGTCGGCAGTGTACTATGATCATAATGGTATCACAGAAGTATGGCGTGGTTGTGATAGCAGTAGGTGCTCAACAGCATACCAAGAGGAAAAGTGTTTTTACACTGGGTCAGGAAGAACAAAAGCTGTATGCACAACTTGTTGTGAAAATGAACTCTGCAACATGCACTCATTTGAAAATACATTAAACTTGATTGAAAATGGTGCCTTCCATTTCAACCAATCACCATTAAATTTTGTCGCTCATTTATTGACTTATTACTTGTTTCTGATATAATTGGATACTTTAAACTTGTCCGACTCACCTCAGAAAAAAAACACTCAATTGGTGAAACTGATAGTATGCAAATAAACTACATGCATTCCATACTTGAACCAGTCAAAGCACGTTACGTTGGTTTCATATATACTTGAAAAAATTTGAAAGGTAGGTCGTGAAGCGATATCTTATTTGACCTGGTGTCTGTGGAATCTATCCTAGATACCTGATGATTTTTCCCTTTTTCAAGATACGAAAATCACTACTTTGAATCAAAACTTCTGTACTTGTATATATATATATATGATATATGTGTGTGTATACCTTTCAGCTCGTTTCAATGATTTAATACAAATCATATATACAATTTCTGTAGCAAGCGATTTCGAATCAAGCGAATGTAATTTATCTCAGATGGGTGATCCGAGGGGAGAAAACTGTAAAATTATATTTTTAATCAAGCAAAATTTCATTCCCACAAGGACATATATCTATATGTGAATATTGGAATGTTGAAAGTCCAGCAATCCTCTAACATAGTTATAGTTGATTATTGTTATGTGCGAGAGCATGGCTGGACTGGACTCCTTGGATGATTCACGTAGCAGCAGATCGACTTCGACCACCCCCGTCATCCATGAAATACATGGACTTGTTACCAGACGGTAAGTCGAGGTTCACCACACGATTATGTCGTCTTGTCGACTTTGATTTCTCCGGGATAGATATGAAACCTTATCACGAAACATTGCAGTTATTTTTGCCAATCGCATTGCCTGAAAATAAGCTCAAATTCTAAATAGAATAGTGTACTGTAGGCGATACTTGAGAAACCCGCGATTTTGTAATGTCTCGAAATGAAAGGTGTTGTTTGTTACATAATTATTACTACCACCAGCGCTGGATTAACCAACCATTGGGAAATATAAGCAAGTGCTAGTGCACCATGCAAAGGTGGGCACCACAGGGTTTTTTATAGCAGAATTTTCAATAGTTCATCAGTGTTTAATAAAATATTACGAGTTGGTCAGACGACTCAGACTTCAGAATGTTCGCTCATTCTTTCTCTACAAGTATCATATTAAACTTATCTATTAATTAATGTTTGTAGGTTTTCGAACTAAAAATCATGTAAAATAATCATAGGTTGGCATCAATTAGTAATGAACATTGAAACTTACTTACTCTTCTTTTTAGTATTCTCCTTGTTGTTTTATTTTGTTTCGAAAAATCTCTTTTTTACTTTAACTATTGTACCAATTGCTTTTTGGTTGAAGATTGTTGTTTCCGGTATAACTAGGATATTTATTCTATATATTTCAAAAATTTCCTTGGTCTCTATGGGATTCCTTTTCACTCCGAAGTTTTGTGTGGCGACATCATCAACATTAAAAATGACGCAGTATGTGGCAGTTACGCGATCGCATTTCAGCTTTTGTTTTGGAAATGAAATTGTGCTGAAATCTCTCTCTGATACCAGATGGGAGGCAATTTTGAAATCATTTTTCAAAATTATAGAAGCACTGGAATATATAGGGAAAGTTACATGTTATCGTTTCGGAATGAAATTTTACAGAATTTTCACAAGTTCAAGACAAAATATGTGCAGATCTGTATCTGCATCATTACGTCACCGGCTGCAAATGGATGAATTTGAACCGGCTTCACGAGGTGAATTTAAACGTTATGAAGCAGCTACGAAGGGAATTCTGCCAGATGTGGATTACAAGGCAGCTACGACTTGCAAACGTATCAGAAATAATGTACCTAATAATGGAGATGCACCAGGTTTTTATTTGAATGCCAGAGATAAATTTCGTATCCCTTCATTTTGCGCAATTAGTGACAAACTTGTAACTGGGATGAAGAAAAGAGGAGAGATGTACAAAGAAATATTTTTTTTTATTGATTTACCCCTACAACCAAATGTCTCTTCATCTGTTGACAAGTATTCGCAGTGTTGTCAAAAGCTTATTGATGCTCACGCAGAAGATTTCAACAGTAATTCATTTTGTGTGGGGACAGAAGTGTTGTTGAGAATATGATGAGTAAATTCATTAGGAAAAAATTTAAGCTAATGTACTGGAAAATAGATACGGCTTGCTACCAAACCGTTAGTTTTGTTTTTATTTCAATGGATAAAATTTTGGGACCTTCAGAAGTATGTGCACCAAGATGGCGCACAGCCTGAACATAGTATGTGTACCAAATTAGAGTTCAGGTTGTGCGCCATCTTGGTGCACATACTTCGGGAGCGCCAAATTTTGTATGATCTATTATGTAATGCGTGTTGTGTAGGACACGTTTTTAGGACCTGGGCAAAATTTTACAGTTAAAAATTCTAAGAAAACCTAAAAATGTTCGTAAACGCTGTTTTATTACTGTTGATTATGATAAAATTTGATGTATAATACACTTATGTGGTTTACAGTATTAGCGCAACAAATCGGCATGATCCGCCCCTAACTACCACACAATTGTGATCTCAGATTTTGTAGCCTCGCTGTCATTTAAACGAAAGTAATAATGACCACGTCTTATCTGGTTTCCAATACAGTGTTTTTTTGCGTTTTCGATAGAGTGGATTGCAACGTAACATTACAGAGGCACGGGGAACAGTAGTGCAATGGTTTAATTTTCTTTTATTGTCTGAAATGAACTATAAATATACAGAGTGTCTCAAAAGTAAGTATACACTATTAATTTTTATTTGCTTTTCAAGTACTCATCATAGAGCGATCATTTCTTCAGGAAACATAGTATGAATGAGTAGTAAAATTTAGGTATTGTTTGCATTTTTCAACAACCCACAGAATGACAAGGAGATTAACCCAAGAAATGAGGTGCAAAATTGCTGTTTGGCAATTTGGAATTAATTCGGCTCTTTCACGACGAATAATTTATGTAATTCATCGTAAATTCATGGAGACTGGATCTGTAGTTGATGTACAAGGAAAACATTCAGAGCCGAATTAATTCCAAATTCTCTGTTAAAGAGTCGATGAGCTTGCCATACAGCAATTTTGCACCTTTAAAGTGTGACAAATTTAACATAGTAGTATTAACTTAATATGTATTTAAATATATTTAAACAATCAACGTACATTGATTATAGACCAGGGCCAGGCTCGTCAACCGGGTGTATAGTACACGCCAGGGTGTACCAAGAAGTTCGAAGGGTGTACCACATCGATAGGGTGTACCGTACCGAATGTTGTAGGGTACACACTAAGCACTAACACATGATATGTTAATTAAATTGGTTACAATTGACAATGGTATGTGAATGTGATATCTAACGGTTTGACCTACATGTAAACTTAAGGCTAACGTATGCCAATAATTTTCCGATTTCTGTCATCTGCTTGTCATAGTTGTGACGTCATAATACTTTTTTATAGCAGTGTGATTGATACCTTGCTAACGTTGCATACATCGAGAGAATCTTGTCGTGAAAACAACTAAGTCAGTGCTCTTCAACCTTTGTGTTATTGCGGAACCCCTGATATCACTTTTTATGGAACCCCAAATAACAAAAATAAGAATTAAACACGAAATACTCGTAACACGAAGTATTTGTAATTCAAATATTTCTACTTAAACAACGAAACAGAAAACCGGTAACAAGCGTGAAATCCAATGGCTAGGTTGTTTTTGCATTTCTTTTGCAATCTTCTTGAATCGTGGCTCCACGGCGCTCGAAGCAATTCTCATGCTCATGTCTACACTCTTTGAAAACTTCTTTTTTGTTTTTAATAGTTGTTAAAGCAGAAAATGCTAATTTACACGAATAGGTATTGGGAAATTGACACAGAAGTTTTAATGCTTATTTGCAATGGCTGTACCCAAAAAATATTCCTTCCCATGTTTTTCGAAGGTTTTCTCCGAATTAATATCATTACGGATATCTAAGAGTCCTTCTTGCTGTTGCGCACTTAGAAATTCATTCAAAAACGGAAACAAAGAATAATCATTTTTTGCAACTTTGCTGGCTCAGCAGTCAATTTTACCTTTACGCGGAACCCCTAGGGCAGGGGCAGTGGCGTAGCCAGCCCAAAATTTTGGGGGGGGGGGGGGCAAATTTGAAAATTTTAGAAATTATATTGGGTTTAAAACACCCGTTCTTCAAGCGCAAAACAACAACAGTTGGTCAACAAGCAAACTGATTCAATTACTCAGCTGGATTTTTGTGAATACAAAATCCATTAATAAACAATTTTTTATTTGAAACAACAAATATTAACAACGCAATTTGAATAAGTAAAATACATCGCCCCGATTAAAAGTCCATCCTCCGCTTCCCGCTAACTATGCTCGACACAACTCGATTAATTTTCTCCTCGGTGACCATTTCACGGTGACAGTGAAGCACACACAAATCAGAAAGGCGATTGGACGTCATTGATGAGCGCATCCATGTCTTTACCCGTTTCATGCAGGAGAAAGACCGCTCAGCCTCAACGGTGGTTGCTGGTAGCGTCATAACGATCTGTATTGCGGTGTACACGCTTGGATAATCTCGAGCGCTCAGAAGAAGCCCCTCCAAACATTCGTCGTTAACGTCGGAACTTAAAGAAGTTCTCCACAGTCTCACTTCATTCTGGAGGTTATCCAATAAATACAGACGCTCTACCTCATCCACGTGAACTGGTTTGTTCGGTGGAAGAATTGATAGCAATGAAAAAAATGATGGGTTGTCAATGAAGCGTTCCCGAATAGAGCAGCTCAAGCCGTCGACGTAGTGGAGATATACGGAACGTTTAAAATACTGGGATGCTGAATCAGCACAGACATTGTCGCGATAAACTTGTACTTCGACTACTCTGGGTATTGTCAACTCTTTCAAGCCAGCTATTTCACAAGCTTCTTTGTAAATATTCAATGCGATTTCAGAGTCATTGCGTTCTTCAGCGATAACGCTCTGAAGAGAGGATGTGAGGTTCTTTACTGACGGCACACTGACTCCGACCGCCTGAAGTGCGCGCGCTAGTGGCTCCATTAGTGCCGAATATCGACCAATCAAACATACGGCGTAGATAACCGACGACTTTTCTAGAGCAGATTTCAGAGAAAAAGCCTTCGCCCGCGTCTCACTGTTAGCATCTCTCGCCAAAGAATCAAGAGCCTCAAGTACTCGTTTGAAGTTGCATTTGAAGATTCGGATGCTCTTGTACTTCTCAGACCATCTGGTGGGGCAGAACAAAGGGATGTTAATTCCTAAACCCGCGCGCCTTTTAGGGCTCTCCCTGAAAAAACGAATAGTCTCACGAATGATATCACAGGTGCTTCTGATGATTGCAACTTTACTTTGGTCATTTATGACCAAATTCAAACAATGAGAAGCGCAGTGCA